AATATGTAAAAACAAACAAAAAACCCCACATAGCTGTTTTAAGTAGAGATTATAGGAGACTGTTTTAAAACTTTCAGTATATATTATTGCCATCTGGAAAATAATGAGTAGCATGTTCATTCTAGTTTGCTCCAGAAAATCTAAACCTTTGCATGAAGGAATTAAGAACTGCTCTTATGTTGTACATCAGTTGCTCAGAACCAAGACATTTAAGAATTCATTATTTTGCTTTCACTAATGTCAAAGAAAAGACTGTTGACCTCAGCTGAAGCAGGTTCAAGCCTTGCTTATATTAATGCATGTACTAGAAATGCTATTTTTCCAGTATATCTGTTTCATAGTTTTCTAGTTTTACTCTACTAATAACATTGTACAATTGTAGGTGTGACAAATTACAGCTAGAAAGACTTCAATTTATTAGTCATAACTGTATGCATTCTGTTAATATTTCATGACTGAAGTGATTTAACATTTTTACATTGATAGATGACTTTCATGCCAGGACTACACAGGAACTGAGGACAAAAGACAGGATGAGAATTATTGCAGCTTTGTTACAACAGATGATTCCCTGGAAATGAGCTTTTAGATATGAAATCCAGTATAATTAGAAGCTTTCATCTCTTGCAGAAAATCCATACTGATTTTCATATCTCTCTCTTGAACACAAGCTATATATGATATTTTTTGAAAAATAAGCTTTAATGTGTTCCATTTTGGAAAAATTACAGCTCAGATCTCTTCTTTAGCTAATTTAAAACCAAGCTTCTTCCTATTGACAACTACTGTCTGTGTTTAAGGAAACTAAACTTGTAACAGGATATCGATTGGGGAAAAATACCGAGTTTGATCATTTCTTTGATTTTTTTTTACATTTGGTAACTAATATAATAACTGAAAAAGCTATACAATGCATGCATGCACACCTGTTTATTTATTGCATTTGATCTTCCTTTTATACTTTGCAGTCTCTACTGTACAGTCCATTAGGCCACAGTTCTGCAAACACAGGAGCGAATCCACATGCACATTTGCAGATTGGCTTTCCATTTAACATTGGCTTTTCAGAAAGGGTAATGGAGCTGGCACTGGGGGCAGGCACTGGGCATGCTTGGGCTTTTATACAGTACTCAGCTTAATGAGCTTCTAATCCTGATGAGCCATCTGGATGCAGTTAAAGTATGAAATAATTAATAATGGAATTCCATTAAGTTGCTTCCCTGTTCTCCTCGATTTATTGCTGAAGTTGCCAGTTCAGAAGACTATTCAATTAGAGAAATCAAAGTCCTAAGAAATCATAACTTTTCACATTACATACAACAAAATTTCTTTTGCTATTGCACAGTAAAATATGAATACTGATCATGTCTTCAATAACTCAAACCTCAGTATTTGGAGGGACTGCCTATAACTCAATAAATAGATGTATTTAACAAGGACATTGGTGGTCAGATTAGGATGATGACTGTTAACTGCATTAGAGTGCATATTCTGGTGAACCTGAACAGAGGCTCACATGCACAAATTTGGGACTCAGCCCAGTGACCCAGGTAGTCCATCAGATTTTATACTTTTGCACACCAGTGAAAGTGGCTACTTGTTCTAAGCTCCCACTGCAGTTAGTGTGAGAGATCCACACCTCTAAAAATCAGTGTATTTAAGTGTCTGAACAGAAAGACTACTTACCTGAGTAAAAACTTTGGCTCATGTAACTTAGCTCTATAACCCACTTTTGAGATTGATCTCACCAACTTAAACCTAGAGCATCCTCATTTATGCAGTCCTTATTTAGGAATGTTTGTGGTTTTCTTACACTTGTTTTTAATGAAATTATTTTAGTTCTTCACTTTTTTTTTAAATAACACTCTTCTGAGTGTGGAATGGCATCCTGCCTCTCAGTAGAGTTACATCAGTGTGCTTAAGATCAGTATAAATAGGACAAACCATAGGTACATGCCAGATCTAGTGTAAGTAGTATAAAAACTTTTTGTGACCTTCATAGACTGAGGTAATTTTAATGTCCACAAACATGAGACCCACCTTTAAATCAAACTTCCTACTTGTACCAAAATGTCCTCCTGTATCTGTAGAGAAGAAAACTTCAATCTCTATTTTCTGGATTATCATGTTTTAGTAATCAAGATTAATCCAATATATGTATAACGGGATGCATCTGGAGGAAAGTCTGAGTCACTAGCTATAGTCCATGACTTTATGGTCCAAGAATATTTTGACCACTCAGTCTTGTGGAAGGAGGGGGAGGGTTTTAAGCTCTCAAACTGAATGCTTGCATGTTTTCCAACTGCTTGCTTTTCAGATTTAGATAATTAGCTGGGGCCTAAGTAATCGTATTTCCAAATGACTCCTTGTCAACACCGTCTTCTGTTTCCAGAATATCTGTATGGTTGCATAGTCCCAAAACCTTTCTTCCCCATGCTACATACTGAAGGTTCTTAGTTGATTTCTGTATGACAGAAAATAATAAACCTATGTGTAAGTTAAATGCTGAGTCATTGTACTTCATTCAACTTGTGGACTGCTGACATCAATTTTTATTTGTGCTCTGTCAATTGCAAAAAAACCCATTACTTTTCTATGTGTTTAGTGAACCTTCACTCTTCCTCTTTCTCCTCAAAAAGAAAAAAATTAATTTTTCTTCAATTGTGTAATCAGAGAACAAGATGGGTGATGTGTGTGAAGATCAACAATCAATTCTCATATAAAATGCATAGAGAGGAAGAGACCTGTGTAACTGCCCTACAAAATCAAAAAATGGTGCTGATGTAGAACACACAGGATATGGCTCTGGACAGTGCAGAGAAACACTAATTAGATGATAGATTTTACCTTGTCATAAATTAGTTATTCATCCAAATGCTTACACCATTATCTTCATCATAAGGGAGTTGTAATCCCAAGATCTTTCTATTCCTGCCTAAATGGAGTTCTCTGCTCTCCTTCCAGGAATTATTTGATGTGCTGCCAGACTCAGCCCTATTCTTTCTCTCTCCTGTACCATCACCCGTATGTGAAATGCACCATGTAGGTATGTGGGAAAGGAATGCTTCTGAGGTTTAAAGCTAAGACTACCAAAATGTCAGAAACTGTCACAGCAGAGATAACCATAAGTATTAAAATAAATTTAGCTCATCAGATAGAACAGGATCCCTCAAAAGTCACTTTTGGGAAGGAAAACTTCTGTGGAGAATGCTCTGCAGAATACACAATCCAGAAAAAATTATTTTCTTTGAGTCCAAGCTCTCTTTTTTTTAGCCTTCTGACATTAGGTTCAAAAAAAGAGAAAGGCAAATCACGTAGTGAGATTCAGACTTGAATGGTATTGTAGAACAAACCTCTACCAGAATTGTCCCTTGAGTAGTTCCTAGTCCAGGGGTTCAGCATGCCCCATTGCATAAGACTTAAACCAGACAAGCCTTAGGCCAGGGTGGCTCTTACACAGGACACCATGGGGTTCGTTGTGCTTAGAATTTTCTGTCTCAGAGTCTCATTTTTATTTCAAATGTGAACTACTGTTAAATGTGACAAGGAGAAATATAAGTTTCTGGTATAAATTTTTGCCAACTGTAATTAAGATACACAATTTACACAAGTAGATATGTAACAACTGGAGTCAAAATATTGACAGGAAGCATTTTGTGTTAAGGTTGGGGTTTTCCTTATTGTCCCACGCTTATCCATCATTGTCCTTTGATGCCTCTCAAGTGGAATTTTGAGGTTGAGAGCATCTAACTCCATGCACAATAAGTGGCTATAGGGGAAAAAGGCATCCGCAGGTATCCCGGGAGCCTAAATCCAGTGTTTATATTTCTTTGTAATTACAGTTTTTTTAATGTAATAATGTACCCTTGTATGTACTGTACATTTCTAACAGCATTACACTGAAGAAACAGAAATCTACTCACCTGTTAAAGATATTTACACTGGAAATAATTTTTCATTCCATTCTATTCCCTACTATTTTTTTCTCCATTTGAATTGTTGTAATTCAATTAATGCATGTACATATTAGACATAATCTAAAACATGAATTCAAATATACTATAGTGTCATAAATCAAGTATAACCACTACAACAGAAGTTACTACTCTTTACCCATGGGATTTTTGTAGTACTGAAACACAAGTTTATTCATAGTCTGCATGAATTCAAAATTCACATGGACAGATGTCAGCAGGATCATCAACCCTCATCATAAAACTGCCTTATAATTGTACTTTAAAATAATTCCTGATGTTCTTAACTCTGATTTTGGTGCAGTCAGAGCACATGGTTCCACTGTGTTACAGGACACAGTTTCACAGTTGGTTGGTCCTGTCACAGCTCTCCAGAACACAGCAGTCGGGATACCAAATACATCTGTTGTTTTCCTTTAATTTGCTGACTGTCACATTTATGCTCCACAGAAATTTTAAAATTCAGTATTAGAAATATTTGACTTACTAGGAAAAGTAGCATGACATTCCCATACCCTTCCAGAGCAGGGTAACCATAACTTCGATGCATTGCACCAACAGGAGAGGGAAGTCAGATGTGAATCCACTTCTTGTCTAGAACAAAAAGGAGAAGAGTGATTTTTAAATCACTAAGATGTCTAATTATTTTTATGCAAGGCAGACAATTTGCTATTTAAATGTATAATTTGTAATATATGAGGTCACTTCTATTTTAAAACACTCTAAAGTGGTTTAAAAGGAAAAGCTTTTACTAAAATCTCAGATTTTCAGTAAATGCCAGTTTCAGTATAGTATTTGAAGCTAGACTCATGCCTGGGTGAAGAGCAGAGCTGGAAATCAATGCTTTTTCAGTGCTTTTTATGGCTGCACTCCGGCTCTTCTTTACTACGTGAAGTATTGTTTTCTCTCACATGATGAAAAAAGAAGCTCCAACACCCTCGGTATTTCTTTTTTTCACTGAAAGTGGTGCTGAAAATGTCACACAACCTATCCTTGTACGGCAGCAGGCGCTCAGGCCAACACCAAGTTTCTGGACGTCTTTATGGGGGCACTTCCAGGGTGGTCATTAGGAGCCAGTCGCGATGCACGCCATGGAGCAGCGGCGGAGGAAAGGCAGCTGCGGCGCCTCCTCACCTCACCCCGGCGCTGTTCCGTGCCTGTGTGTAAGTGGCCGGAGCCGTGCCCGCCATCCCGGGCGCGGGAGGCAGCGCTGGCTCCGGGACCGCGCGGGCCCCCGAGGAGCGGCCGCGGCTCCTCCTGAGGGCTGAGGCGGGAGCGCGGGACACCGGCCCATTCCCGCCACCGGGCTCTCGCTGTCCTGCCCTCCCGGCCGCGCCACCGCCGGCTCCGGTTTAGCGCCGAAATAGGGTTTGAGATCGGGGAGAGGCCCGGTTGAAGCTTACTTTGGGAACCAGCTGGCACAAAGGTACCCAGGCCCAGCGCCCGGGCTGCTTCCCGCTCCTGCCGGGAGCTCCCGTGTCCCCGACTGCTCCACGTGAGCCTTGCGGAGACAGAAACGCCTGCCAAGCTGCATAGACAGGAATATTTTCAGAACAGTGTTATGCCTTACAGAGGAAGCCTGCTCATATGCAGATTCTTTAAAGCCATTTAGGTATTTAATTACCATCTTAAATTAGTTCACTGGCAGTAGGCACCTGTTACGTTCTGGGGAATTGAGTAGTGCCCTGCTTTTTAATCAGCTCTTTAATGTGTACATGTGCTTTAAACACCTCGTTAATTGGCAGGAAATAGTTGTCGTCTCTCTTTTCCCAAGCTGTTCAGAAGGTGTCACCTGGGATCTCACTGCAGAGCCAGTGGACCATTGAAAAAAATGACAGAAAGCTGTGGGCAGGAGCAGACGAGATGGATAACAACAGTCATTATGAGCACAGCTCTCCAGGTACAGTACCACTTGTCAAGACCAGCATCTGACTCACTACGAAATGATGAAAAAATCATGTCCTATATTCTATACATGGGAATATTTTATTCAATGTCAACAAATACAGTTTTTTTGAGGATAAAACAGAGATATTATTAGTCTGAAGCTGCTTCTTCTAGAGTTCTGGTTCTTTTTCCGTGTGTCTGTATTTTCTCCTAGCTACTTCCGTATCTATTTAGTATTCTTGCTACCTGCTATTCTGAGTTACACTGCTTTAGGATTGTTCTCCTGGCTCATCATTTTTGCACTGCCCTGATGCCGCTTTCAGTTAGTGCTGTAAATAATTTCATCAAAAATGTTTCTCAATTTTCTGAATTTCTCCCTAAACACAGTATCAACATTGGGGCAGAGGATCGCTCAGTAAGCACGTAATTCAGTTTAAAATAGGGAGTCCTACAGATATTGATATATATTTATATCCGTTAACATCAGAAGCCTTGACTGTGTTGCCAAGTAAAGTGAAAGGGTATGTCAATGAGCTGGTAATTAGTTTCTGCAGCTGAGGCCAATTTCATGCCAGCTGACGAGAATTTAGAGGCAAGAGGGCTTTGATTCACAGGCAAGAATATCTCATGCTAGCTTGGCTGACAAGGTTATCACCCCATCTCTGCTGGGTAAATGGGTGAACCATGTTGAAATAATTCCTGAGTCACCTCAGTTTAAAGCCTATTCTTATTTGCCCGTGTGTCTTGGAATTTACAGCCTGTAAACTGTGACTGTTTGGGAACTGCTTCAAGAGCAACTTAATCCATAATATGGTAAGAGGTATTGGGTGGCAGTGATTTCATCAGCTATACCAGCATAACGCATTGCTATTAATAAGACCTGCAGCTCTATTCAAAACTACTGCTGTTAATAAGGGCTTTTCCTACACAAAGCTGAACACAAATCTAAGATGGCTTTTCTGTATCAGTTTTGGTTATAAGCTTTTTCTTTTTCCAGGACAGCTATAATTTTCTTAAAGGTGTTATTTACATTTGTGCATTTTTTCCAAAATTGTAGTTATAAGCAGTTGCCACTGAGTGTTCCCTTTCCAGACCAGTTGAAAGCATGACATTTCTGGTTACTGTCCCCTTCAGGGTTCACTTGCTATACAGATTTTATTTTGTACTCTTCCACTAAATCATGACACTTTCCTATATAGGCAGGTTGGCTATATTTTAAATGGGCAGGTTAAGGAACATGTTATTACCTAAAAAGGATTCAGTGGTTTAACCTCTAAAATATGTGTGTTCGAGCAGCTTTCGTAGAACATGTTGCAGAAATGCTTTTTGCAAGCTGAAAAATACATCCAAACCCTTTCTATTCTGTAGATTATTATGATTATTAGTTTTCCTGAGTGGATTGCATTCTGTCAAAAAGCTTTAAAGAAAATCATGTCCCATACAGAATTTTTGAACTATTTTCCAACTGAGATGGTGACATCTGTGAAAACAATGCAGTCTAATTAACTGGAGTCATAGAAACACACTACTATGTTCCTCATTTCTGCAAATCCTCCTTTAGCATTTCTTACAAAAATAGACTGTAAAATGTTTGAATTTCTTTATGCATTATGCAGGAGTTTTCCTGAGACAAACAATGTGAGTGTACAGAGGTGTCACTTCTATTCAAATACTTCAAAGATTCATTAATTGAAAATGTTCAACATTTTAGTACTTAGTTTTTATTCCATTCACCATAAAATTCATTTTTAAACAACAATGCTAAAGGTTTATCTATAATGGTTCAGACAATGCTTTAAGGATATTTTTAACTTGTGGGCTGAAAACATATTTTTAAAATAAGCTTTTAAAATTTATTTAGGATCATGAAATTTCTACAATTCTACAGAGACAACAACACCGAGTTCGATATTCAGAATCAGTGGAAACTGGATCTGTGATTTTTCCTCTTTCTGGTACAGTGCTTTAAAGTTTATGCTTTTAAATCATAAACTCCAATGAGGTACAAGATCAGGTGCTGTTGTGGGCTGTGCTAAACTGAATAAAATCTGCCTTGTGGGAATGTTGTGCAGTAGTGAAAGGAGCTGTGCTATGACTGAATGTAAATCAGATGAAACAGAGAACTTTGGGAACAAAACATTTTCAGTGTTTTTTACTTTTTTTGGATGTCTTGTAGAACAGCTACAGGAGATTTGGTGAACTGAACTGTTCAGTAAATTCTTGTTATAACTGAGCAAACAATGCTGAATGCCACTAATGTCTAAGCTGCCATCAAGATCTTGAGTATGCACAGCTATAAATGTAAGAGTGAACCAAGACCTTTGGCTGTCAACTTCCAAGTTGAATTTGCGGACCTGGTGGTAGCAGAGGAGGTGGGGAACGGCTTGTTTGAGTGGCTTTGATTAGGAAATCACTGAAAATATAAACATGAAATATCTATTTTCCTTTTTAGAGCAGAAGATGGTTTAGACACGTAGATGAGATCCTTTATCTGAAGTTTTTCTGAACTATAAGGACTAGCATGCATTGGCCTAGTCTTTTATATGCTCAGCTGTTAAGCCTCCTAGACTTCAGTATTCTTAACTTTCCCTTTCAGAAAAACTTAGTTGGAAGGGCTATAATTTCATTTTTCATGGTAGACAGTTTAGCTAACTTTTAAGATTTTAAAACTGTTTCTTTAATTTAAAAACAGGACTTGCTGAGCTCTTCAGTCAGCCTTTGCATTTGCCCTAAATTAATTCCTTTATAGCAGTTGCTTGTTCCTGAAGCATGTGCTTTCAAAGGCATTCAGATGTGTCTATTTTGAGTGGATTGAATAATTGGGGGGTTTTTTAATGTTATGGTAGAAAACTAACCTCTGAGTTATTTGTAGTTTTATCTTAAAATTACTAGTCATCAGTGGCCAAATCTCATGACTGCATTTCACTGTCAAAGATGTGTAAATTCATTCATGTGTTTTGTTCCATTGCCTTTTAAACTAATGGTTAAATTAAGAATTCTGCTTCCTGGTTTGTGGTAAGAACTTAATCCCATTATTGCCATGACAGGTACATTTACATGATTTTCCTCAATAGGTGTTGCATTTATACTGTCAGACACTCAAGATTTGCTTAGGACAGGGGAAGAACAGTTTTCTGAAAGAATTCAGAAGTTCATAGGCATTCATCGGAACAGTTTTCTGGTTTTGTCAGCTGCTCTTCATGGATCAGAAGAATGGAATGTCATGTTCAGGATTCAGAAAAGGTAAGATTTCAACATCAAACCAAACTTTTTATTGCTAGGAAGAAATGAAGCAGCACTCTAGATTTGGGAATATTATTTTAGGAATTAATAGGACAAGAGGCAATTGGCAAAATTAGAAAGCATCCAAAGGAGGGCAACAAAAATGGTGAAGGGCTTGAGGGGAAGCTGTATGAGGAGCAGCTGAGGGCACTTGGTGTGTTCGGCGTGGAGGAGACTGAGGGTAGACCTTATCACAGTCTACAACTTCCTCGTGAGGGGAAGAGGAGGGACAGGCACTGATCTCTTCTCTGTTGTGATCAGTGACAGGACCCAAGGGAATGGCTTGAAGTTGTGCAAGGGGAGGTTTAGGCTGGAACTTAGAAAAAGGTTCTTCACCCAGAGGGTGGTTGGGCACTGGAACAGGCTCCCCAGGGAAGTGGTCACAGCACCAAACCTGACAGTTCAAGAAGCTCTCAGGCACATGGTATAACTCTTGGGGATGGTCCTGTGCAGGGTTTAAGAGTTGGACTCAATGATCCCTGTGGGTCCCTTCCAAGTCAGCATATCCTGTGATTCTTTACTGCACAAGTGACCATGCACTGGACCAGGCTGCCCAGAGAGGTGGTGGAGTTTCTCTCACTGGAGATATTCCAGAACCATCTGGACGAAATCCTGTGCAATGTGTTCTACGACGACCCTGCTTGAGCAGGAAGGATGGACCAGATGAACCATCGTGATCTCTTTCAACCTTACCTATTCCGTGAATTATTTCCAGGAATATGTATTTTATTTTGCTAATATACTGGAAAATTATTTGAGGCATTAATAAAGAGAATATAAAGTGAGACAATATGACATATTATAGGCAACAAGAGGATGTACCTCAAAACATAACAAGTAATATTCCCTTCAATCACTTTAGGGCTATGTAATATAATAAAAGTTTTCTCTTGAACTGAAAAATGAAGTAATTTTCTTAGTTCTGTCACCATCTTTTCATGGTCATTTTCAAAACAGAACAGGCAAGTTTACTTAATTAGAAGAGGCTTTATTGGCAAGTGCAGATTATTTACCAGCTTTTAAAATCTGTTTACTTGGAACAGTGTCTATTATACAGAGCTTAACAATTGAAATAGTGTTATTTTATACCAAAAGTATAAAACTGGACATTAAAACTGGTTTGTTTAAAACTTTTGTCTGTGTTTTCTAATGAAGCCTGAAAACTTGCATATTTCTGTACATATCTGCTGACAACAGTGATCAGACTGCTTGTAGTCAGGACTATTTTCTGGTAGGTACAGTAGCCCGAACTGCAGCTGTCACTCTTGGCCTCAAGAAGTGACTATTGTAATGAAGTCTTTGATCTTTACCTCCTTGAAACAAACACCAGTTTCATTAAATCCCGGGCATACTGCCAAATGTTGATGAATAGCAGAGTGTATGGGATGAAATGTAAGAAATCTATTACCCGTTTGTGAAAATGCCATACATTTTCATGAGAGGTCTTAAAAGTTCTGCCACCATTCAGCAAGAACCTGTTATTCAGCTGATGGCAAGGCTAATTTCTCAGTCTAGATTTTGGTTACATACAACAGAATTTGTGCATCTGTTGATCACTAAAACGCAATGTTTTTGGAACTGTATTCCATTTGGCAAGTCAGTAATCTTATTAAAATAAAAATAGTTTTATCATTGCAAGCAATATCAAATTCATGTTGACGAGGCACAATTATATTTTAAATGCATTTGCTTTTTTACTACCTGGTATCTTGGAATTCTGTTGTATGTAAAGCACTGACTGAGCTTCTGCATTGGTGGGGTTGAAACTTGTGCCACGTTCTTTCAAACTACAAGTCACCTGTTGGATTTGTTAAAAAACAGAACACCTTAGTACTCAGTTTGTCTTCTATTACTGTTTCTTTCTGCTTATCTATGGTTTTGCTGCATCTGGGGAAGGATTGTTTTTTATTATTAACAAGAAAATTATAGGATTCTTCATCAACAACATGAACACCTTCTGTAAGGTTGTGTATAGTGTGGGGGAAGCGGGAGAAAAGCAGTAGCTTAAATGAGCATTCCACTAATAACCTCAGTAGGTGTGTATGTTAGGTTTTTAACACCCTGGAGGAAAGACCAGATGTGTTCAAATGGCCAGTATTCTGTCTGTTAAACAAATTAAAACTAAATTTAGACCTGCTGTAATTGGAAGCAGAACTGTTTATAAAAACAGATTTTCATGGATCTAGGTAAATACATGTAACTGTTTCTTTGTTGCACTTTGTTCATTCATCATGCTTTGCTTAGCCCATTCTAGTATTAATAAAATTGCATCAATTTATTTCTCTAATCCTTGAATGTAAATCAAATCACAGTTCCTGCATCAGATTTTAGCAAAACTCAACCAAGACCTGGGTGCCTACTCTTAGGGAAGGACAGTGTCTGTAACAGTTTTGCTAATTAGAAGGGCAGACAAGTTCAGATGAGATACCTAACCAGCATGAGGTCTTAATGTGAGTGAGTCCAAGTCATCAGACAGATTGCAGGGAAGAGCAGGTGGTAGGCACAAGGGGAGGTCACAGGGGAGTGTGCAACTGAGCAGCTGGGCACTTCATTTGGATTACATTTTTGCTTATTTAAAATTCCTCATTCTTTGTTGTTAAGTCCCTCTCCCGTTTTAGCTCTACAACAGAAAACAGCAGCAACGCTGACGTTTTGTCAGTGTTACACTTCAGGTACCAGTCTGAAGGAGAGGCTCAGTGCTTGCCTAAGCTTTGATCTCTCCATGACTGCACTGAATGACAACTGATGCTACTATTTAAAATCTTCAGATTCTATTCTCAAGAACGAATGCATATGAATAACACTATTTATAGAAAGAGAATGAATTTTAGGTCAAAGTATTTGAGTGAAAAAGCCCTTGCATGAAAGTAAATTATCCCATTATCTTAACCTCATCTGGAATACAGGTTGTTTTATTTATAGTAAACTACAAAGATTTAGCTCCAATCCTGAAGTGTTTTTAGCACAGTGTTTTAGATACTTTCCTGTGTTTTTCCAAAGCCATAAAAATAACCCACATATTTTTTACTGCCACTGAGAACAGTCTTCAGCAATATCACAGAAGAGGGTTTAGTTCTCTCTGAGTGTAAACACACTTAAGAAGTGCTGACTGATTGTCCAAGAGCCCTAGATAAAGAAATGAGCCTTTCCAAATCCCACCTAAATAAGTGGTACAGAAATGGGACAGATGGCTATACAAACAGCATGAATTCTCCACTTGCTTTTAAGAATAAAAACAGTCTCTATGTAAGTAAAATTGCACAGTAAAAAGTTGTTTACAACATGTGGGAATGCACTTTGAGTTTTATAGCATAACTAATTAAATACACATTCTAAAAGTAACCTTAACTTTAATTTATTTTGATGTGCAGATTCCTGGGCAGTAATTTACGTGTAATACCAGTTCATAATCCTGCTGAAACTGTTAAATTAATGCTAACTATGGCTAAGGTAAGTCCCATTGCATATACTTAAAAATATTAGTATAATAATCAGGAAAAGCCAAGAACTATAAAACATTTGGTTTTCCTTAATGGAACTTTGGGTTATACTGACCACAATCCATTAATACACTGAGGTAGAATTGAACGTTTAGGATCTTAGCTGAGTCTTTAAACTATTGTTAAAGGTAACTTAAAAGCTCTTAATAGCATCTGCAAAGACACATTAGATATTTAAGACCTCATTTGGCTCTTACTTACCACTGTTAAGTTAGAATGTCTTCATTTACTAGTGCACAACCAGCATAAGATTTAAATATGTAATGACTTCAACTTAAAGTAAAAATGCTACCTTAAAAATTAGTTACAAGTAGTTACTTGTGAATGTTTAGTGATGCACACACTAGTATATTACTGCTACAGCTTACTGTCATGTGTCTCTGGATCTGCAACATATCCAGTATCAGCAACATATTATTAATTAAATCTATTTACTGAAACTCTTTAAAGACCATTTTTCCATGAAAACTCTAACTTTAGATATGAACTGTATCAGTACTAGCAGTATCCCATGTACCAAAACTACAAAGAGCAGGTTGAATGACTTGTTAGGAAGGAATCAAAAACTAATTTACCTTCTATGCTTTCCTGAAATGGGCATCTCAAAATAAGCATTAACCTATTCAGAGTACGCATCATTTTATAAGTGTGTAAGCTTCATCTCACTTAATGTATGGCAAAAGTTAAATACATATTACAGTGTTGAACATTGTACTTTTTATGGAATATAGTGATGCCCAGTCTCTTAATACAGCATATACCTAAAAGCTTTTAAGGTTACTGCTGAACCTATAAACTTGAATTTGCTTTTCTGCTTCTTTGGAATATTTGCACCAAACTGCAACAGGAGAGCCCTGTAAGAAGCAGTGACAGCACCTATCACCAGTCTGCTGGTTGCCATTACATTCTTTCTTACTGATGCAAAGCCAGTTTAATGAGCTCATCATTTTCCAGAGAATCCCTAACTGGTACAGGACCTAAAAATCAACTTCTTTTTGCCCCACGTGAACAGATATGGCCAAGGGAGCAATACCATCCAACTAATCCCAAGCTACCATTCCCACCTCCTGTTGAAATATTGTCACCTCTGTGCACATCACTCCTGAATACCTACTTCAGAACATGATTCAAATTTCACTGCTGAATAACTTTGCATTTGCACTATTGGAAATATAAGATGTTGAATATTCTATTACCTAGGAGTTACTGTGTCCTACTCATAATACTTTTCTTTTCTCTAAGATGACTTCCAAGCCACAAGCAGATAATACTCGTTACAAACTGGAAATGACAAAAGCCCAAATAATAGAAAAAAGTCCAGTTTGGAAGATGCTCCAGGAATACCAATTGCACTGTAATTAATTTAGTGTTTGGGGTTTTTATTCATAAATAGAGTGGCTACATTTTAAACAAAATATAGAATGTTCTTAAAAATATAGTTACGTTTCAAAAGACTATATACAATATATGCATTTGGAATGAAAATTCATATTAAATAACTATACAGTGAAAAATAGCATACTTGGTACCAAATGTGCATTCCAAGCATGGGGAAAAGTGATTTAGATGCACTAAAAGTCATCTTTATTTAACTTGATTCTGAACTTACAGACTCATCTGTTTATAAATAATTTCCCAAAATATTTACTATGTCTTAAGGAAAACTTTATCATTAAAGATAAGTATGATCAGAACAATTCCAAAATGCAGGTTTTCCCAGCATACACAGGGATATGTATGAAATCTTACACTGTTTTTTAAACACAAGCATTATCTGTTATGTTACTAAGTTTTAACATCTTACTTGGCTCAAAGTTGATGTGTTTTCCTTTAAACCTGGCTTCCTTTGCCAGAGTGTTTTACTATCTATAGATTGTATATTCTATACTGTTACTTAGCAATACCTTACAGTCTGTTTGCAAATATACAAGCTAGTTTGCCAACATAAAAACATGCTAATAAAAATACCTTATGCTTTAACAGTGCTTTTTAATTAATGGTTCTTCCGTCACTTTATAAAAATGTTTGTAATTCACAATACCAGTCAGTAACTCTAGCTAACAAATTCTGAAAATGTAAAGAAAAATAAATGCCCAACCATACCTCCTCGCCACAACAGAAGGGCATACCCCCACCTTGTTTAGTTTCTAAACTTAAGAGAAAGCATCAAATTCTGAAGGAGTAAACAGACCATATTTGTGAATCACATGCAACAAGACTTATGAAGAGCAGCATTTGCAATTCTTCTGGAGGCCACTCTAAATTGCTCCTCTTTAAAGGCTGGTAGCCTCCTTTGCAACTAAAGTCTCCCAGTCTAAATGAACTTGTATGGAGTATGTTCATTCATATACTTCAGCTGACCTAACTATTTTCATCCATTACAGCTTTTATTTTCACTTCAATGAGTTCTTCTACTCGAGCTAGAACACTTTCTATTAAATCAAATGTGAAGAGCGCCGAGTGTAAAACCTGAAATGACAAAAAAGATCAGTGTTACTTTTATTAGACTTTTTTTTAACTCGCCGTACATCTACTTTTGTCTTCACATTGAAAAGAAGATGACACTACTTCTGAATAGCTCTGAAGGAAACACAAACTAACCTGAAGCTGCATTCCAGTAGTCATGGCAGGCATCTTTTCCCCACTAACAGTTACAGAACAAACTGTGTTAGAACTGTGGGCCTCTGTAGAAGAAAATAACCAACATGACTCTTAGAAGAAAAGAATATTCAATATATTAGAATTTTGAGACAGTAATTGTTAAGAACGCAAACCTAGGGATTGACCAAACAGAATGGAAGGTGCTGAACCTTCAGAGGAAGGCAGTTTGAGCTGGATGCTCTCTCTACACTTTCTATAACACAAACACCCACATTAGTAAACAGGCAAGATCTGCAATTCAAAACAATTTATACAGCTCAAATTCTCTTGGAAAGGAAAAATAAATTTTATATGGTCAGGTTTTGATATATTTTTTAAATTTCCACATCCAGGGAGGCAGTAGGAGGTTCTTAAGTTTGATTTAATGAATCCAGACATGAAATACTTATTTTATTAAGAAAAGGCTGCAGGCTTCTCTGTTTCAGACAGATTACTTGTAGCAGGCTAAACTATAAGGACAGATCTGAAAACTAAAGGGAAAACCTCTTACATTCAGACCATATATTCGAAATAAAATATAATTCTTACAAAGATTATACACTAGGGAAGAAAGGTAAACCACTTAAGGTCACAAGTTAGATGTCCTCTCCTGAACTCAAATCTCTTTATACTTTGTCAAAGGCTAGAGAAATGTAAGAGGGACTTAAAGAAAAAACTTCCTGATTAATTTGGAAGGACTCCCTTTAGAAAGATATACATAGGTTGCCTTCAGACAAAAAACCCTTCTTTGCCTCATACTTATATGGTTTACTACAGAATAGGGTAAGACTAGGGGCAAAAAGCTGTACTGACATTTGTAGTAGCAGATGCAAATTCCTTAGGCTGTCTTTATACTGGAGACCACAAGGAACAGAGGATCTGACATACAGAGAGATTCCCTAAAGCAGCTTCAGCTCTAGTGCCCCATGCAATGTGTCTGCTTAACCCAGAGCAGAACCTGATTCTCTGTGTCAGATTTAAAAAAAAAAATTTTAAAAAAATCCAGATTGTAATGCCTCAGGCTTTAGAGAGCACTGTGTCACTTATTTCTTCTCTTGTTAACCTTCCCACACCTGGTATGAAACCTAAGGGCCATGTATTCAGAGAGACTTAGTTGCTCCTGTGAAACATTAAAATCAAAAGTATAAATGCAGAACAAGCTTTGAAGGTCTTCATGTGACAGTTCTGTTAGGTTTCCATAAGATTTACAAATGTGATGACAGATAAGTTCCGATTTTCTGACCAATTATGAAAAATTTTAATATCAAATATAGCAACTGCTGAATTATTATCTGAGGTTTGGAACAGCATCAACAGTTAAATAAAACATGATCTATACAGCACTCACCAATTCTTTGTTTCCAAAGGATTATCAAAGTCTCTAGATACGAACAAAACTAAGGAAAAAAAACCCAACAACTAACCTTTTCTGTTTTCTTTCTTATTTTTTATTTCTGCTTCATAATGTGCTTTTGACATATTGAGTCCTACACGCAGTGGTTTTAAAAAATTCTGCTCGATCCTGGTGAGTGTGGTCCATACACCAGTCTATTCAAACAGAACAGAGGAGGTTACAAATCAGTTTTAATGAAGCATTGCAATACTAAGTTTTTGAGCACAAGTTTTTCAGCTAGTCTTTATAACAATGAATAGCATTGTGATAGATATTTAAGCTCTCCCTCTCCGTTATTTGTTGATTGGAGGATGAAGCAGTTAAAAGAAAAGGGGGAGGAGGGGGAACTTGGTATGTAGGCTGATAACTACAGCAATGGAAAGGCACATTTAAAGCTTGGTTTTGTAAGCAAAGCTGAAGGGATCTTGATATGCTGGAGGGGATACTTAGCCACTTTCTCGGGCTGGAATCTCTACAGCAAGTAAACAGCAGTTGTAGGTTCCTCTCAGATAATGAGGCAGCAAAATGGAACAAATATTTAAATTAATGTTCCACTGTATTGCAATGCCATATGAAAGTTCTTATGAATATGCTCCCCAAATGCCTATACTGCATTTAAAAAGCTTTGTAGGAATGTTACTAGATATGCTACTACCACATCCTTAGGCACAGTAGCCAAAGTGACTATGAACTTCTCCCCAGTTTGGCATGGGTGGAAAGAACAGTTCACAATAATGGCCTTCATGAAGCAAGAGATACAAGGAAAAGGTGCTCAAAAACAAGGTTGTTCAGGGTTACACAGCACAAGAGGAAAACTCCTCTGCTTGGGCACCTTACAAGCTTGTAGTTACAAAACTGCTGTAGAAGGAAACAAACACACAGCAGCCTTTGTGTCCTTAGATACAGAGCCACTTATACAACTCCTTTCTTCAGGCAGTATCCACAAAGGGCAGAGTAAGGACGATAAAAATAAGAATTCTCAATGTTAAACACAGTGAGTCCACTGATGGCAGTGGAAAATTCTTCAAATTTTAATACCAAATGACAGAAAGTCAACTAGTCAAGTAAGAAAAACAGTAATTACTTCCACCAGAATGTGGCTATAAAAAGGAAATAGCTTTCTGGAAAAATTTTTGAACTTGATTAATGAAATACTTGTTACACAGCAATAAAAAAATCTGAACTGACATGAAAGGAGGCATTTTCTTTCTGCCCCACTTGCACTATATGAAGAGAGACAGGGAGGAAGTCAAGAAGAACTGACAGGGCTTTTTTGCCAGGAAACCCTCAGATGTGATGCTATTTTCTCCTCAAACTGCAGGGACATTCCTTTTGCCAGGTACTAGACAGTTTTTATTAAGAATAAAAGAAGAATTCTCATCTTTCTCACAAAGCTATGTATTTACATGAAACCGAGTGGATCATAATAATTACTTAAATAGTAATCACACCTTAAATATGAGAAATAGATATAATCTATCAAGATTAACTAATAATATAAATAGTAAATTAGAAATGCACCATTTTCGTTACTGTTCTGGCAATCAGTGCAAGTTACATTGTTATTATTCAATTTAGACCAATAACATTATTAGGCACTTATAAAACTTGTATACCCAGATCTCAAAGTAGTCTAAAAGTAGATCAGAAGTTTTTTTCTGTATGTTAGAAAACAGAACATGACATGCTGAAATCCATTAGTCCAAACATAAAGAACATCAAGGAACTGAGAGAGAGCAACAAAACATCTTAGGATACTTATCTAAGGGTTCAAATACTCATATGACCATGATATTGCACTTATGAACCATCTGCTATCAACCCACTTGTGAAATTCCAACAAGTTCTCCCTCAAGCATCCAGGAACACATTTGCATCAACTGCAGGTGGACAGGACTGACTGTACACAAAGCCACAGATCCATCCTGAAATGCTGCACTGATCAGCTACACAGCAGCTGAGGAACAAATACTGGTAGAGGAGTGCAAAGTGTAAAATATGTCCCTAACTGTTTCAGACAGAAAACACAAACACAATGGAGAAGAAAGAGGCAGGGATTACAGCTAAAGCTGCTGCTTTAAATTGAGGTTGCACAATATAACATGGGTAAAATACGTAAGGACAGTTTCAATTTTTTAAATATATTGCAGAGTATTTCTGAAATACCTACATTCAAACATTCACACACAGGAAATGAAGGTAAAGAGGCAGAGCTATAATAAAAACATGGGTAAACTGCAGTAGTGGGCAGTTTAGGCTGGCAGGTTGCCTTTGTGCATAAAATGTTCTAGGCTGTTTCCAGTAAAGCAATGTAGCAGAAAATTGGATGGGTCTGGCCATTCCTTTTGTAACTTCAGCAGATGTATCTTACAGACAAGAACTTTTTCGATGCTAATACCTCGAGAAACTTTTAATATGTACCTATCACACACCTGCACAATTGCTGTAAATACAGAATATTGTTTTGTATAGCTAAAAACTAGTTAAATACGATTTTTTAATATTTTCTCAGAAATCCTAACAACTTTTAGCATATTGCACAAGAAGTATTTTTCCTAAAATGAATTAAATGGATTTCTTGAACTGCCAGGGTTTGTATTATTATTATCATCATCATCATTGTTATTATTATTTTTATTATTCAGAAATCCACTTGGAGCTTTTGGGGGATACCAGCAATAAGCAAAAATAACAAATTTTTTCTCATGGGAATGCTTGATGGGTATGTGATTTTGTGGTGACATACTCTAATGTTATGGACACAGACCACAGTTTATGAGGCAGAGTAAAAGGATTAGCTTGTTTACAGTCAGAATATGAATGCAAACAAATTTCATCAGAATAAAATAACACATCACATATTTTCTAATTCTTTTAATTAAAAGCATCACTTCTGGCCAACTAACCATTGCAAAGAAAAATGCAAAGACCATGTTTTCTGAATCAAGAATAACAGCGTTCATGTGAATCCAGCTCTCACGTCTCAGCTAATCAATCATTTTCAAATCACTTAGTACTTACTTGATTATCACTTTCACAATCCTTAATGACTAAGTATCTCAGCAGATTTAGCGATGCCATAATCCTGTGAATTAAAAACATACTGTTTATAATCTAGACATAGATTTATATTACAGGGACAATAACTTAAATTGTTCATTAGCCAGATATCCTAAAAGTATCCATTTGTGCAAAACACTCGTCTGTTGAGCAATATAGCTTAGTCTAGAGCACCAGTGATGTCCATACAACAGTTCACACTTTGCAAGTAAAAACTGTCATCAGATTGGAGAAAGCTGCTGATTGTGAGGGAAAGAGTCCCCTGAAGAGACAGAATCTTATCACAGAATTTGTAATATGCATCACTAGTGATCCAAAGTTGATTTGAAACTAGTGTGACAGTTTTCTTTACTACCATACTGAATTTTTACCTTTGAGTGCTTTCTCAAATATGCTTTTTGCTTTTGTTTTTCCATACTTTTTAGCAGAAATTATTTATTGCCTTTTCCAGAAAAGAAGTACAATTACAGATAATACTTCTGCATTTTTTAATCAGTTATATGTCCATCCGGACTCCATCACTTTACTGATTTACAAGCCCAACCACTGCTCATCATGTAAGATTTGTCCTATCAGGAGATTTTCAGAGATATTTCAGTTATTTTTTATTTCTTAATTCCAATTATTTACTGTTCAGGTGGATCTGTATTTCTACTCATGAGATACTGGATTCAGCAATCTGTGAAACAGCCTGTTAAGTTGCATCTGAAAATTGTTCTTGCCTTGTATAAGACAACATACCACGTTGCTGTTATTCCTCCAACTGCTTCTGCAGAAAGCTGACAAATCAGATATTGCTCAAGAAATAATGCTTTGCTAATTAGTGTAATTTCACATCTGAAGTCTTATATCCTCAAGGAATGGAGGAAGAAATCCTTTTTTATTGTTAGAAATCAGTGTAATAGCATTGTGATATTCTTCTATGCAGAGTTCATGGAAATAAATGATCATTTCCGTTTCTAGTTCTAAAAATTTAAAATACATTAATGTTGTCACCTCATTAGTTACATGACAGCATATGTCATTGTAGTAAGGCAGTTTAAAGTCTTTTTAAATGATGAAAAAAGGAGAAAAGCCTCTAACTGTCATTACAACTCACCTGTCTGAGTTTTGCAGAAGATCTGTCTCAGCACCTTCTGGAAGTGAAAGTACTAAATCTAGAAGGGAGATCAGGTGATGTCCTGTAAACCACACGTTATCATATTCCTTCTGAAAAAACAATATAAAAAGTTTAGCTGAGTGCAAAATTTAAATCTTACATAATTTAACAATAATTTGTCTAAAAAAAGAAAAGGAATAGAATAATCGAACACTGGAAGCAGTATTTTCTAGTTACTACCTTGTGACTGAAGTATGCAAAGTAGCCTTCCATAATCCTCCCCAATTTGTCTCTGCATGCCAAGCTGTTCTTTCTTATTTTCTCAGAAAAAATTCTCCACCACTTTAGTGTTCCATCATCAATACAGTTAATATTTGTTTACATAAACATAGCAAATTTTAGAAGGCACCCTTTTTTTTATATTGAGGAATGCAACAATTAATTATCTTTATCAGAGACTCTTCTTCATACCAGCAGTGTCACTGGGTTTTTTTAAATGTGAAATTTCAGAATACACTTTTACATATTCAATTTTAGTGCAAGCCCCTTTTGGAACAGTTTTCATCATGTTCACCCCTGCTGATTCAATATACAGGACAGAGTATCATCTAATAAATAGTAATTCACTGTCATCTGACAGAATTTTGCCAGCATAAAAGATGCATAAATTTACTAAATTGTCCTATTTGACAAAAGGCAGTATACTAGAGAATCAAATTTAGTTTGGAGAAGGCTCTAAGCAGTAAAAAAAAAAAAGTTAATAATTTAGTTTTAATTAATTTTCCCAACTTCCCAGTATAAATGATTATAAAATGAGATATTAAAAGGCTTTGATCTAGCTCCATCCCTTCTGATGAGTTTATCGCTTGCAAAGTACTTAATAATAAAATGCTGACTGTCATCAGAAAAACCAAGAAAAAAATATTTCTCCCTGGACTGTAGGACTTCAACTATATTCAAAAAATTAGGAACTATGGGGATAAAACAAAATACTGAGTAGTTCCACTTTAAGAAAAAAACATACTTTCAAGCACAGAAAAGGTAATAATAACTTCTTAGAAAAATACATGCAATTAAAAACATAACTATAAAATTAGAACGGAAATACATATATAAAAAGCCAAGGCGATATTTTTAATATAATTTCCCAATCTTATGTTTCTTTTCAAAGTGAATTTTTTTAATGCATCACTCAAAGTTTAAGCTGTAGATGTTTTCTCAACATAATACTGATAGAATTTTGAGATGGCAACTTGTTTTTTCGTGGTTACAGCCTCACCGTTAACGATAAGTGAATCTGATCTTTTATATTTTTAATAATGTATCCTTCCACACCAGCATGGTTGCTTGTCTTCAGTAAACACCTTCAAACAAACAAAACAAAGATATTATCTCTTCAAAGCTTCCTATGTAGTTAGCTCAACACTTAGATGACATTATGGGCTTATTCACTAAGTGGGAGTTTTACCACAGAAAAACTGGATGACTATGTAACCTTTAAACACTGGCTCACATAAGACAGGTGATTTTATGTGAGGCAATTGAAATTTATTATTTATCAAAAAATTAACAAGTAAAATTAATGTGACTTCTAGATGGAAACTGTCAGAAAACACTGTATGTATGTAATTAAACTGCACTAAGGCTGATATTACACAATCTACAGTAACTTGGATGCATACCTGAATAATGTATATTTTCCCTCACTGTCAAACTTGTCTATGAACAACTGCAAAATACTTAAACTCTTCTTTCTCTAAAGAAAACAGAGATGTTATCAGATGGATTCTCATTAAATAAATTCAGCACTTAACCCATTCAGTAGCTAACTTTACATACCAGATGCTCCATGGGACAAAGGGTCATAATTTTCACCAAATCCTGCAATGGGACAAAGAAAACATAATTTCTACTTACATACAGATCATTACATTAACACTAACTAAAATCTACTCAAGACAATAAAAAGTCCAAAAAAAAACCCCAACAAAAACTCACAAAAACCAACCAACCAACCAAAAAACCAACCACAAACGACTGCACACTTGATTATGGGAAGATTCTCAGCAGAGACATTCACATGAGATTCAGTGGTCGAAACCCCAGGGCTGATATGCAAGAATACAATCCTTGTACTGTTGGGTCCAAATCAGAACGTAGTCAAGCAGCAGATGGGCAAGGAAGAGACAAAAACAACCAAGTACCATCTTTCAACTAAGATCTGTGCCCACCTGCTTCAGTGACCTGTACATAACATACACTAAGTATATTTTAATTGTCACTGAAGCTTCATGTTGCAGCAGGTAGAAAAGACAATCAATTCTATGTAGCAAGACACTGAAGGTTTCCATTTAACAACACAGGTGTACAAAGGTTCAGTAGCATGTGCTCTCTCCAACACCTAGAGGACAGCTAGGTATTATTTGTAACCAAATTCTGAGGACTTCTGTACATTGCTTCTTATTACCTGAGGTACATTAATAAAATCTCTGAATTCTAAATAGTCATGCAGAAGGCTGTTATCTTCCATTCTCAATAAACTGCTCTCAAACAGATCCTGCAGGTGGAAAAAAAATATGGCAATTGTATGCACATATAGAAGACATTAATCTATATGCTTAACATTTCATGGCTAAAACAGCTGTAAGTACACATTCTGATACTGAAAGTTTCCAGGAGTTGCAGTTATAATAGTGATAATTTAAACATTTATGCAGGAGTGTAAAGTTCAAAAAATATAAGTATTTGTAACACTGAAGAATACCTAATTAAGCCTCAAAATATTTCTGGAACTATTATCTGAACTATCATTTGTACATCTCTTAGAAAGGGAAAAAAAGAGTTTTACCATTCCTTAAACTGAAAAAAATAAACATTCTAACAATGAAAATTGAATTTAAAAAAACAACTTACAAGTCCTTTAGATAACATAGATTCTTCTGTTCTAGAAAAAAAAGTCAAATTTAAGTTTTTAATTAAAAAGACTGTTGATATTTCAGAAGAAATATTAGAATAGAGGTCAACAAAAACCTGTCTCTCAACAATTTTTATTCTATTTTCTAAATACAGTATCTTCATTACTCCTCTCAAAGATTTTTAGAATAAACTTGCTTATGTTAAAGTTGAACATTAGACTCTGCTCCTCAGGTCAAAATGATTTCTTTCCCCTCAATATTTATAAATGCTCAATACAGGTATTGACATGCTGATTAACAAAGAAAATGAAAGGGTAAGTATTCCTAAGGGGAAACTTGCCTTCTATAGCGCTGCTAGAAGCTATCTGGTAACCCCGCTGCTTATAGAAGGCGAAATAATCACAATATATAGAAAAGTTCAGTTTCCTTTAGAAAGCCTGACCTTTAATCAGATTGTGTATCATGTCAGAATGCATTCAAATAAATAATATCACAATAGTCACCTTTAGTATTACAATAATTGTTACAGAAGTGCAAGTAAATATACACTAATTATTCTGCATGTGTTTAAACTACCTTAATTTTGCATTTTCCAAATAAAGTTTCTAAAAATACTATCACAATACATGATAAAAACATTATGTAAATATTTTAGAAAACTTCTACTTCTTAGTAGAAGAAGCCATCTTGTAGTGGAACTTGCCATTTTAATGCTCAGGTTTAAAAACCTCTACTGAACTTACATGGCATATTTGAAATCTGATTCTATGAATTACGATAAAAGATCACACCCATTACCTAGACCTGCAAATCCCACAAACTCTACCTTTTCAGTAGCACTTCAATGTGTGTCATATTGCATAGCAGAAGGTATGATGGGCTAAAAGAGAAAAATTAGGTTACATTAAACTGCATAAGCCATATATGTTTGCACATAATTAATATATTTGACAGGATTAGTATTTTTTAAAAATTAAAATATCTTTCTAAAATTTTGAAATAGACAAAAAATTGTAAGTCAAATCACTGGTAGTAACTCTTACATGAAAACCGTCTATAAATATGTAATTGAACATTTAATACGCATTAATTTTCACCACATGACTAATCTCTGACAGTTTCTTTAAAAGGACAGCTCATCTAAAATTAAACTGTAATAGAGTAATCTGCAGGACTATGTTCTTTATATAAATAATATAAGCTACATAAAACATAAGTGCATAAAGGTTGACATAAAACTAATACCAGTGAAATACAGTTTTCATTCATAACTATTCACAAATAAAGTTCTCTTCTGCTCAGAAAGAATCTTCAAAGTACAGACCTACAATAAATGAGAAAGAATAGTTCTTACCTAAAAACCACCGGAAAGCATTCGATACCAAAATGCTGAACAAACATCAGATATGACAGACATGCCAAAGAATCTGCAGAATTCTTTCGCTCTATGTCTGCAAACTCCTGATTCTCCCAGGGTGGACTTTTGCCTTTATGATGTAAAAACACTAACGGTATCAATTCTCTTATATTCCACAAAATGTTCTGAAAAAGAATGATAGATTGCCTACAGTTGCCTTTAAAATACCTGCATACCAAGGAAGTTTCAAAGCTTTAACTGTATTTACAGTACATTCTCTTGTACAGTATAAATTAAAATAAATGTGATATTTACGATATATACACATATGCACACAAAAAGAACCCTGCAGGAAAAATAACCCCCATTAGAAGAATGTTCCTAACATAGCAAAGTGCTATTGTACGTATTACAAAGAAATAGCAAGATAAAGGTCAGCTCACTATTGCGGGGTTGCCAAAACAGAAGATTCAGGATCTCACGTTTTGGAAAACTAGGATTACACAAGAGGCCAAAGTATGACTTACTGACCTTAGTTTCAAATCCCACTACCCAATCTCATAAACACCAGAAGTAAATTTCTTAAGAAAACAAAGAAAATGTTAATTCATAATTAGTATTAAATACATGGTTTCAGACTGTGCCCAAGAGAAAAGGCAGGATTAAAAGTCAGTTTTTCAGAGCACCCTTCAACTATCTTAACTATGAGATCATCTTCTGGTAATCCCTGCCTCCTTCCTGCACATCCTGAAAGTCCTGCAATAAATGAAGTACAGGTTTCAGAAACAAGATTCTCTCCCATTGCACAACCTGACTGATCCACACAGCAGTTTCCATTCCCATGCTGAGGCACGCTGGGGGAAAAAAGTGGATGTGATCGTGAGGGAAAACCCAATTTTTGTTGAAAAACAACCAAAAGTTTTGTCAACTACTTTGTGTGCTTCACTTCACAATCTTAACATCTAAATATAGAATTCTGTGAAAAAAATGCTTAGATTTTAAAATACAAATTGGAGAAAAAACACAGTTGCATCACAAGGCAACTTCCAGACCTCCTCTGTGTTCATGCACATTTGCATACATATTTATGTGTGCTTTCCTCATCCCAGCTAGCTCTAGGCCTTCCTTTTGAAGCTCATCAAGTTTTAGTGTGCCATTCCCTTCCCAAGTAACACCATGACCCAGCCTCATTAAGCTGTCTTTTTCTCAACCCATGAGTTTTTCTTCATATTCTCTTCCCCATTCTGCCTGGGGGCCATAAGTGAGTGACTGGGTGGGGGCTTACCTGCCAGCTGGGGTGAAGCCACTAATTTGGATATGTGCAAGAAAGGAAATATTCTTTACCATATTCAAAACGTGAACAAAGTGCAGCTCTATGTGCAGTAACTTTATTAATCACATCTAGTCCTACTTCTGAAAACATACACATAATCTGTGTTCCAACATATGCATGGACTGTACCTGACTATCTCCTTATAAGGCTTGGGTTTGCTGCAAATTGGAATAAACTTACCTTTACCCACATTAATCTTACTCTAATAAAATAGAGCTGCTATGTATAACATTCAAAACCAGAGTAACTGCATTGATAGCATGGAAGGGACACATGCTCACTGAATTTCCAGCTCTAGTCAAGCATCAATTTAGATTCTTTGATAGTCAGCTGGCACTGCACCAGGCACATCAGAGATTTCACTCTGTGCAACACCTGGATTAAAGGTAACGTAGATTTTACCTTGTTGCAATACTGCAGCAAAGATGATCCTTTAGATATACTAATAAATTCATACATCATCAAGAAAAAGAAGCAGTTAGAGCAAGGTTGCAGCTGCTGATTCAGAGAGCAGTGCAAACTTGTTCATCAAGGAGCAAAACTGTATATGAAGATTTGCAATTTCCACAGACGGTACCTGGAACAGTTCTAGAACTTTATCTACCTGCATTATCTTAAAGGACCAGTAAGTCACCCCACTAACCAATAAAGGAAGCAAAATGCGATCTAGAACAAACTACAGGTAATTCTGAACTAGACCACTGGTTTTGCAAACACTGTAATTCATTTTGACTGCACTTACTATAATTTCAGTTGCAAAATGCCGAAAAGGATGTTCTTCAATGCCTTCAAGTTGTTCAAGCTGAGCTGTCAATAATGGATATTTCAGGCTTTTCATACAGCTGAAATGAAAAGGGGTGAAACTAAATCAGCAATATGGTCAAAAATACAGAGTATTGTAGTGTCATTAATGACCAAGAATAAAGTCTATACTCATAAGATGCTCTATTTCTGGTATTTCAAGGAGAATTAAAAAACCCCAACATCTCCTGTGGAAGCATTCCTTAGACTTCACCTCCAGACTATGATTATCCTCACTGCTGAAAATCTGAGAAGCAGAGGAATACCAAATCAGCTTCACAGCACAGCAACTAATAGTTCTTTACCATTTCCCTGTACTAAAAAAGAATTGTTTTTACCTTTCTTCTCTCACTTCACAAATATATAAGGCCTATTTAGGGCTTCTTTTTCAAAATACCATGTCAGTGTAAGTTGACAGCATTATAAAAGGTGATTTATTTACTGCCTATGTAATAAATGCCTACTGACGATTTTGTAAAGTAATAGGAATATATCACACTGACAAAAAACGCTCACAATTTTAATAATTCTTCTTTCAGCTCCATGTCATCGTATTCTGATGACTTTTCCATATTTTTAACAACTTCATTCACAAAGGGTTTAGCAAAGTCCACCACTGCATTACAACATTGACAAAGACCAAGTTTATCTTCTTGTATTTGTTGTTTTGTGTAAGGTACAGGTAAGGGAGTAAGCTGATTCATGATCATGGCCAACGACAAACCCACTGAGTAGGCCTTCTTGTTCTGAAGTTTCAAAAGCACTGGGGTAAAGGAAAAAAAAAAGGGGGAAAAAGAACATTTTGAGACAGAAAGTTATTACTTAGTAGAGGAAAACATGAAGAAAAACAGTGTGACTACATAAGAAAGCACTTAGTTTCAATGAAGGAGCTCACGTGAGCAAATCCAGCAAGACAAAATATCATCAGCAAGTTTAATGTGCTGTAGTTAACACAACCATGTATTTGCAAATAACAAATATTAAAGCCATCACACATTTCAATGATCTTCCTTTCTGCATAGCACCCTGATGACGACTGAAAAAAATCTGCCTTTCTAGAACTGGACTAAGTAAAATAATACTCCATTTATCTGACCTGGAAAACACATTTATTACTTGACTGCTTTTGTGCTTGGCAAAACCAGAGACACAGAAAAACAAAGCTCTCAGCTTTTCTGCTTAGAACTGGTCTTCACCCCATGGCAGAACCAACAGAGGCACTCCCAGACTGAGGAAGCAGCACCTGAGGCTCTCCATTTTAATGGACTCAGTGCCTGCTAACTGCAGATTGGCTATCCAAAAAATCACATATGCCTCTTGTTAAATTCTCAGAGACTGCTACAGTCAGAATTCAGCTTTATACACAACACTTGGTTTCATCTCACATATCGAACCAGAAGCTACCACTTGCTACCTACTTAGAGAGTGTCCAAACCCAATATTTTTAATTTTCATATGTAAGCCAGAATAATGCTTCCCCCTCACCAATAACGTATTTCAGCATACTTCAGCTGAAAGGTTTGTACTATAAAAATATGAAACTGTATAAAAGTTAAATAATAAAGAATTTCACAAATCTAAATCATTTAATTCTCTACTTCTGTAACAATAGTATGAGTGCTTTACACCACATTCTTGTAACTGATAAGAAATAGTTGAATATTGCTTTTTCAACTGATGGTATTAATACCATCTAAAATCTTTTTCTAGCAGGCCAATATAAGCATGAAAGTTATACCTTGTGTTATTTTATAGAACATAAGATTGTAAAGCTTGTCAGCACAGGCATATTCTGAAACCATTCCAGCAAAAGCTAAACTAAGTTAATAAATAAATGAGAAAATAATCTAATTCAGAAATTGTATGATAAGCTGAGTCTTACCTGTCTGCAAAGGCTGAAGCAATAACATGACAGTTTGACACACTTGATCTCCAGAGGTCTGCTCGATTTGCTCAAGTAAACCCAAAAACAGTTCCTTTGGATTGCACAGCTGCAAGAGAGGAACTCAAGTTAGGTAACTCAGCTAAAATCGTGTCCTTTAGATGAGTTTAACTCATTATGATGTGAGAACCACACCTCTGAAGCTGAGGCTGCCCATCTCCAAACGGAGAGCCCTGTCCACTGATCATGCACCACGAACTCTGAATACACTGTACCTTTAAATCAAGGCGAGAGAATAAGCTGCCAAGAGCAGCTTATCCAAGTACAGATGTAGATCCATTATGCAAATATTGTTTGAACAGAATTGTATAAATACGTTTGTATATTTGGCCTTTGGTGTTCTAGCTTTGTGGATTAATGATCCAGCCTTCTTTCTGTGCAGAACTGTAACTAAATCAAATCCCTCCATCCTGTGTGTCTTTTGGCTTTGTGTACTGGGTGAAACATCTCACTTTTCAGGGACAGCAATACTGTATCTGTAGTAAGTAAGTGGCAGTTTTGCTGTGGCTGCTCTGACTGCAGCAGTTGGCTATCAAAAATTTTGATGCTATCTGCTGCCTTCTTCTGGGTAATGCTTTGTCACTGTTTTACCCAGTTACTAATTTCAGATGTGTAAGACGTTAATTATCTCTGAGAACACTAAGCCTGTGTCTGCTTCAGATGAAACTGGCCCATGAATTTAATAGTTATGGGAAATAAGAAGAACCCAGAAATATTCATGCCCTGTTTTCTTTGGAAACTGGGGGGGGAAACTACAACCTCTCTCTTTCCTACTATTATTGTATTGTATTTCAAAACCATACCTGTGCCAACTGATCTAGTATCCTCAGGCAGTGTTCTCGCTTATCATCTTCTTCTTTATATGTGAAAATACATCTAACAAGAGGAGAGATGAGATTCCAACCCATATTCTTGATGATAACCTAAAGACCAGATTTTCAGAGAATAAATCAAAACTGTATGTCTTCTAAACCCATAAAGATTGTATATATAAAGAACAAAAGAGACAACAGATCAATCTCCTGGTTGTCACCAACACCACAGCTGTCACCGTCAGTGAAAATTTAACAACTATTACCATAAAGTCCTGTATTTGAAATACACTCTATTCTCTCCCCATACCTATAAATACAGCTGCATAATTTGTATAAGTTTTCTTCAATTTATTAACATTAACATGTCAATATATACTTCTAAATGTCTATCACAATACATTTAAAACAGGACTGAGTAAAGGAATTTTTCTGAAAGACTGTTTGGACAAATTATGCTTAACCTGCAGGGATTGAGAAATTCAGTGGTACTCCAAACTCACAAAATTCAAAACCAGACTGCAAACCTGCTGTAACACTGCTACAATATTCCATCCCTCATATCTCTGTACAATTTGGTATATTCTCCCAGCTCCCCCAGTGCCCACAGACACCAATATCTCTTCAAGTACCATCAGTTTAGTTGGCTCTTACAATTTTGGCCAGTATTATTATATCCATCTGTGGTGAGCTGGTCCCAGAGAGCAACTAAGCACCCACCAGCTGCTGGCTCACTCTCATCCCTCAGTGGGATGGAGGCAAGAATCTTATTGCTGAGGATGATGTTACATGGTATGAAATATCTCATCAGTTTGGCTCAGCCCTCCCAGCTGTGTCCCCTCCCAACTTCCCTGTTTACTGATGGGGCAGAGTCAGAAACAGAGAAGGCCGTGATGCTGTACATGCACTGGTCAGCAATAGCTGAAACACTGGTGTGTTATCAACACTGTTTTGGTCACAAATCTAAAACACAGCCCTATACAGGCTGCCATGAAGAAAGTCAACTCCATGGTAGCCAGATCCAGTACACTATCTGAAATCCCTGTCCTGCAAAAGAGGGACACTGCCAGCTTCTCCTATTTATGCTTTTGCCCTTCCTTTTCTCTTTGCGTCACTTACTGAAAAATGGTTTTGTTAAGATTACCATGATTTGGGTTCTCTACCTAAATTACAGAATTTAACACAGAGCAACTTATTAGCTATTTGTAAGTACAGCCTTGCTTCACAGTGAAAGTAGCTTTCCCTTCTTAATAAGCAGTTTTATGCATTTAATTGTGTTAATGCACAACTAATAGACTGTAAACTTAAACTCACCTTATTTTTCTCATTTTGAATTACTTCTAATAGCTGAGCTGCATAGCCATCTTCTAAACATTTCTGACCTGCCACCAGGAACAGATTAAAATCTTCTCCTTTGAAATCAGCTTCTTCCAGAATTTGCTAGAAAGAAAATATTGACATTTAACTCCATGCTTATAAAAGTCAAATAAGAAAATACATGCATTCATTTCAAAATTAAATGTTGTAACTTACATACATTTTTCACGTGTTAAAAAAGCTACCAAGAGTTACTACAGAAGACAAAGCAGTGTTTCAACAGCACTTTTTAAGTGTAGACTACAGCATACTGTTTGGAAGATATATTTTCTACAATAACCTCCTTTTGTTCCTGGGTGCAAGAACACTTCTTTCTCCAAGAAGCAGACGTTATCAAGCATCTTAGGATAAGCCCCACAGAGAAGTCAATGAAATATGGAGGCTGAACTTAGCTGCCCAATGAGGGTAGCTCTGCTAACAACTGTCTTTGCTTTGAGGTCATTTTGGTTTTACTTATAATATAAGAAGAGAAATGTACACTGCTTACATTTGTTACTTTTAAGGAAAGAAAACTACTTACGCATCTTTGTATTATGGCTTGAAGTTCGTCAACTGCCATTGTAGTTTGACTGTGTTCTTCTGGCATCAAAAACTATTATAAATTAAAGAGTGCAGTATTATATCACATGAATTTAAAACAGATGCTGAAAAATAATTACATTATAAAAAAAAAGTCAAGAGAGGAACAAGAACAACCTAGACAGATATTAAGAAGACTACACGATTAAAAAACATGGAAAAATACATTTTTAGGAAGTGTAAGCTATATTATTCTACTCCCCATATTTGCAGGAGATAGTATTACAGTCAGGAAACAACCTGCATTCTATGTACAGGGAAGTAATTTTTCAAGTATTATCTAGGTCATTTAAGAAGTTCGGAGGCTTTAGCTACTACTCTAGGCACATACATTGAAAACCGCAGCTAATACAGAGACAGTCTGCACGCAAAGTGTGGATGCTCATGACACACTACACTTCCTGTGACCAAGTTCTGAACAGAGAAGCTCCTGCTCAGCCCTGACTGGAACACTTTAACCCGGCGTCTGGGATGTGCACAGCTGATGCAACCACCGTGCCAGTTTATACCAACAGTCCAATCACGATTACAAATGCAGTATCATTTATTTCTTTCTAGTGTTTACGGGGGGGTAGTTCAGTGGCCTTTTACCTCTAGGTACTATAATTCAAAACTAAAAGCAATTAAGTTAAACATTTGAGTAATATTAAGTACATATAAAGTTTTACATAGCTAGGACCACAAATTACAAATAAAATGAAGCTTGGTTTTATTTATCCCATGTGATATATCATAGCAGCAGTCACAATCTTTATAGCTTCCAGTAATGTCATGGTCCTAAACCTGGTTATATGATGACTATGAGTGTCAATTAGCCATACACATGGTTAATTAGCTATCTATTCATCAAAACACAGACATCTCCACATAAAGTCCTCAACCTTTCCTCTTATGTTTGACCTAAGCTACATCAGACACCACCTGGATAATAATCTAGCTGGGTGATTACACGAAGGGGGCAATTCATGAAAGCTCAAAAAGCATTAATTATCTTAATAATTTCTTAATTATCCCAAGAATAAACAACTCCCCTTCTATTCTCGACGGCCTGATTTAACATTTTATGTCGTTGAAACCTATCCATTGTATCTAGCCTGTCATATTAACTTGGTCATTACCACACACTTTACTACTACATGCTGTACTATTCGAGCTCTTCATTTCACAGAATGGTACTAATCCTTCCAGAACAATTTAAATGTTCTTTCTAACGCGAACAGTGTTGCATTTTCACCCCTGAGTAACTTCACAAGGTACTTACAGCCTTGGTGCTCCGAGCACCCACCGTGCTGCTGCAGGGATTTACCGGCCCAGCTCGCAGATGGTCTCCGGCCTTAATACTTAATCCGGTTTCTAACTAAATCTTTTCGGAGGTTTCACCGGCACGTGGGCAGAATCTGGATCATGTGAAACGTTCTATTAATACTCACCAAACTGCCTCCTGATAAACATACACCGCAGCCCCTTCCCTCGGCGGTACAACACAGGGGCTGCCGGCGTCAGCTCGTAACACGCGGCTGAACTAAAAACCATGGAGCAGCCCTCACCTCGGCCCGAACCGGCCGGACCCCCGAGCTCCGCGCCGTCGCCTCTCCCAGCCCGGCTCCGCCCCGGGTGAGAGGTCGGCGGGCGGGGCGGCGGCGATGGCGATGATGGCGGCCGGGACGGGCCGGCCCCGCCGGCGGCGCGCAGGTGGGCTCCGCGCGCCCGCCCCCCCCGCCTGGCGCCTTGGGCTCTCCCTGTGCCCTCAGGCGGGCACAGCGGCGGACTCGCCCAACTCGCTGTGCCGAGGGGAGCGGCAGGACGGCTCGGCGGGCCTCGGCCGGGCCGGGCCGGGTGCGTGGCGCGATGGGCGGCAGGACGGGCGAGGCGGGTCTGGGACTCGCCGTCCCCTCGGGCTGTGCGGGGACAGCCCGGCCCGGCCCGCGACAGCGGTCGTGCAGCGGGTTGGACACTGCGTCCTCGTGTTCAAAGCATAACACGCCGGTATCTCCCCTCCCTGCTGCCCTTGTCTCAGGGGAGCGGCTGCCGAAGCCCCCGTGTCACCGCCCGGTCAGGGGCAGGCCGGGGGGCAGCGAGGGCGGCGGTGGCAGTAGTGGCTCTGTGTGAGCTGCCTGCGCCGCACCCGGCTCGGAGCAAATCCCAGCGGTGGGACAGCCGAGAGGACAGCGGGGCGCGGGGGTAACGCTGGGCCGGAGAGCCGGGGTGCGATTTGCACAAAATAACTGTCAGAATTACTCTCCCCTTTTTGAGTATGCAGAACATGGTGTATGAATGGGAAGTATGGGAAGAGTTGGGTCTGTCTGTCTGTCCTCGCACTTGTGTCTAACTAGTTGCTGAATGCTTACTAGCTTACTGAAGTCACGGCCATCAAAAGCAAGTTTCTAAGCAATTATCTTGATTATGCTTACAGTTTAGAGGTTTTAATTTTTTTCAGATTCCTGTTATTTTCCAGTGTTAAAGGAAGAAAGTACACTAATTTCTATATTTCTACATTTTTATATTTGATTTCTAGGAAATAAGCATTCAGCTGTTCCAAAGAATGAAGATGCTGCTCAGAGGTATAGTTTCTGATTAACAAAAAGCGACATTTGTGTCATTTTACCTCACTTTGAAATGGCATTCTCTGCCTTGCATGTCTTTTGTCTTTCTCAGAGTACCATGACTACCTGCAGGAGATCAGCAGCGTCATCATGCAGGCTTGTTTGCAGTGATGCTGTGTAACTTCTAACAGCATGCACATATGTGCATTGTATAATATACTAAAAGCCTATGAATCCAACGTGCACAATTGTATTTCCTTAGTAATACTTGCTTTTTGCCATCTTAACTTCTTTGCATACCTGCCATTTATACTTATTCACATTAAAAAACATTCAGGAAATCTACCGTAGTAGCATTTGTTTGATTTATTCCTTCTTTTACTTTGTAACCTCATGCACAATCATGTTCCAGTCCTTTTTTCTTCCCACTCTTCTTGTCTTATCCAGCTCCTATTCTCTCAACAACACTCTATAAATTGTGTATCCTAGGCTCTTTCTCCAGCCAGTTCTTGGTTTCCCTCTTGCAAGAAGAGTTGGGCCATCTTGAGGGGTGTATTGCAATGCAATTAGAGTCAATACTTTTCCTGACCAGAGTAAAAATAAAACAAACCAAGGTTGGAAACTCCTTTGTGGTTATAACAGAATTACTACTCCAATTACTCGTTGCTTTGTTTGGCCCACATAGTGTGATGCAGAAAAGTGTAACTACTGTATTTCAGAAAAAAGATAAATATATGACTGGAAATTTGTTTATGAAAATCTGCCCTCTGTGTCATTCGGTGTCTGTTCTGTTATAGGAAAGCAGCTCTGGAAGCTGCTATGAGAAAGAAGATTGAATTTGAGAAAAAAGCGTTGTCTATTGTTGAACAGCTCCTGGAGGAGAACATTACTGAAGAGTTCCTTCTAAATTCTGTAGGTGTTGCAAGTTTTTGTACTGTTTTGTATCTTAGTGTGCTGCTTTTTTTTCCAAAGTTCTTGGAACAATTTACTGCAGTTTAAAATAGACAAACCATTGATTGCCTCTCTCATGAGCTCTGATGATGATTGCCTTGTTTTCAAGGGTTCTGCAGTGAAAACATGCCCTAGTTTTGCAGGATTGTATACATTTATGAATCCTCACTCTATTATCACAGCCTTTTTATATACCTCTGTGGTTCTGGACTGGTGGGTGAAGTATAAATATTTAGGTCTACATCACATCATCTGTGAATTTAGGCAAAGTTTCTATAAATACACCATGGTTTATCTGGCAGCACAGTTTTGCTGGAATAGTATGATGATTATTCCTGTTAAGGTTATAAATAAACTGGTAAATATAAATAGAGGAAAATTATGGAAATGAGTGCTACACTAGAGGCAAAATTATGAAGCTCCTGTATTTGTAAAAAGAAGTGCCCATGTCTGTCTTCTTTCTGTTTACCCTTTTAGCATTTTTACTGTGTAGGTTTTAAATGTTGTTTATTAAACTTACTAGGTAACTTATAAAATTTAAAATACTTACTTGCTTATGAGATATTTTGAGTACAAAAAACGACATATTTTCCAGTATCTGTTGTTGAACTATTTTCTTGTCATTTTAGGGAAAGTGTATTACTCCATCTCACTATAAAGACATTGTTGATGAACGATCTATCATCAAACTATGTGGTTATCCTCTGTGTCAAAATAAACTGGAAAATGTAAGTTGCTTTTCATTAATGTTGTTATCACAATTTTGATTCTCTGGCATTTTCTTTTTAAACGATTAAACAAAGATTAAAATACTGCCAAGTAATGGGCCAGGCATCATATCACTCCGTTTCAGTATAATCCTTCTGAAGTGAGAGGTAAAATTTGATTAGAAGACAACAGTTACTATATGGTAAATCAGTTAGCATCTACTTTGACAGTGATGAAGATCAATGAGTTATGGCTTCATGGCCTTCCTTTGTGCATGAGAAAATTTTCTAATCCTGTTCTTTTGTCAGTATAGCCACAAGTGTCTGTGAGAAGGATTGAAGTGAAAAAATAATACAAATGCAGGGATATTATTATGTGAATACATATACATCTGCTGTAAAAATGTATGTCAACTGTGTCAAAATCATAGTCAGACTTCTTTAGCAGAACTCAGTTCAGTTAGATACCTGTGATGTAATACCAGTGGTACACTTGATTATCTGGAAAAAAAACCTACTTGAGTACAAAAAAATTTGCTCTTTTGGACTTCATATATTAACACAGAAGTTCACTTTGAAATTGTATTACAGTTTACAGAAGTTCCTCTCTGGGTTTGTCTGGGTAGTGGTGGTGGTCCCTGACGGTACAGTCTCAGGTGCATATAAATAGATAGGAATTAAGGAAGGACCTGTCTGTCATTGCTCAGCACTTACACGTGAGAAAAGTGTCTGCCATGGCAGCTCCCTTGTTTTATGTTCAGCACTGACTTTCTTGTAGATCTGAAGTTGTCTTCTACTGATGATGAGACATATATGATTAAAGATAAATTGCTATTCTTACAGGTGAGAAGGTACAACATCAGAATTGAGAGAAAAGGTGGTTGTAGTATGCAATTCAGTTAGAACATATTGCACTTAAGAATGAAGCTTTCTGTATAGTCACCATGGAAGTAACAGTCTTGCTGGTGAAAACATTCTGTTTTAGGTGCCAAAGCAGAAGTACAAGATTTCAACAAAAACTAACAGAGTTTATGATATCACTGAAAGAAAGGTATGATAACAAGTCTGTTTCTAGAATGTATTTAGTAGTTGCAATGTCAGAACTGCATTTTGTAACAGCATTAATATAATGACTTTGATTTAGAGCCAGTATTTTTGGTTCTTACAAAAATAATTTTCACGAACAGTTAGGAGGTTTTTGTGTGTTTCAGTTTCTAGATGCTGTCTTTGGTAAAACAAACCCGCATATTTTCTATATTTAAACATAACATGGAAAATTTTACCTGGATAGCAGTTTGAATGTGGTACAGCTGATCTGTGAAAGACATTTGTGACACATGTGGTTGTATAAAAATCATCTTTGCCAGTTCGCAGGATACGCAGTCACCTACAGATGCTTAGACATTAAATTGTAAGATAAATATTTCCAGTTACAGAACAAATTTCTTCAGTGTCACTAGTATTCATTCCTTTCCTCTGTTTACCACTTCAGGATATATGAAATTCTAGGAATTGCTTTTTTAGGCAACCAGGCAAGACTCCGAGAAGATGCTGTGTCTTCTTCCCTTGTGACGCAAGTGTGCAAGTCAGTTTTTCAAAGATGCTGCAAAATTTTAGGTGTTGTTCCAAGTATTGCAAAAAACCACGTTCTGTTGCTGACCAAAATTTTCATTATTAAACATCTGAATTTTATTGCATGTCTTTTAAACTGTATGACCGTCTTGGGTTATGGCTTGTTCTTTGAACAGTTTGTTGGGTTTTTTTTAATTATTTTTATGTAGGAATCAACACTGATTTGCTGATCAGTATGTAATGAAAGTACAAAAAGCAGAAAAATGGGAAAGAAGAAGCTAAAAGTGGCTTTTGGGGAATGGGATAGACCTATTTGATATGTTTGATTTTTCAGGTGAATTAAAAACCTGCTCATAGTCTTGAAAAGAAACATGAATTGGTACTTAATACAGGCATAAAAAGCAATTACTTTTGTACCTTTCTATGAGTATTGAAGTTGGCTTTAGTCGTATCTTTTTGCTTTCTTTCATTTCCAGTGCTTTTGCAGCAACTTTTGCTATAGAGCATCTAAATATTTTGAAGCTCAAATTTCTAAAAGTCCAGTATGGATGAGAGAAGAAGAAAAGTAAGTATAGTCTTATACATTCATTGCTCTTTTTGAGAATATCACTTCTCTTTGCAAGCTGCAATGCTAATTAATTAGCTGAAGTGTATCAATATTATTTGACTGAAGCAGAGGTAACTGATGTTAAGGTGTAAGCTTAGCACAGTGTTCCTTTTAAGTGTTGTTGCCATATGGATTACAACAGTTGACAAGGCTCTGTACCGCTCACATCTGCTTAGTAGACATGACCGTGTTTTGATCACCCTTAGCACAGCACTTGGCATTGGTCTTCAGCTTAGACTGTGAATGCTTGCATCTGAGAGCAGACTACACCATGAAGAATTTCTTTGTCCTATCTAAATTTCAGATTGCCCATTTCACGTTGTTCCTGCAATACCCATTTTGGAACAGTGTAATGCAGTCTGTTCCTAGCTTAGGAAACACAGGCTTGCAGTAATGACTGGAGCCAATGGGTGTCACTGTTGAACAATAAGGACTTGCATAGAGAATGTTCTGCTGAATTCATTCAACTTCCGTTCTCCAAGACAGTACTTTTCATAGTCTCCTGGTTTTCAGCAAAAGGAACTAGCTGAATTTATAGGTGTGCGCTCATTTTCACAGTCATAAGAAATAGGATACTCAGCAGTGTTTTAAAATCTCCGTCATTGGAGGTTTTCAAGATTTAAACTTCATGAATTTGTGGCTGATCAAACCTGCTGTTGGTGACAGTTGCATTACAAGCAGGAGGTCAGACTGGAGCCTTACAGAGGTCCTTTCTGACTAACATTGATGTGACTTGCTGATTGTGTTAAATGTTGTTCACTGTAACAGCCTGGTGCTGCAGGCACACGAGTCCCTCTCTGTGAACACGTGTGCAGAAACCTGCTCTCATAGCCTTGCTTTGAACAGTGGGTGTTGGACCACAGGATCCTCAGGCATCCCTTCCAAGCTCGACTATTTTTGTATTTATGTGTATTTCGAGAGAATTGATTTAGCAGGAAAGTCTTCATTCTGTGTCTTGTTTTTGCAGACCACCAGACATAGAGCTGCTGAAGGAGGGACAGAGGTACACTGATCAATTTTATTTTTTTTTATATGCACCTATACTTAGAAATTTTAGTATCGTATCAGGTGAAACGGGAATCTTTGATTTCCTGTGTTATAGAAAAGACCTTATTAGAACCTCCACAATGTTTTTTTTCCTTTGTGATTCTAACCCAGCATATTTGATCTGTATGATTTAGTGTACAGCTGCTCTTAGATTGTGTGTCTCAATTGAGCCCGTTGAAATCTGAAACAAAGACACTGTTTGTATTTTGCATATTTTATGCCATCTATTCTTTATAAAGAAAATTGTGCCAATTACATGTGATGAAAGCTTCTGTACTTCCTAATCTAAAATGTCTGTATCAGCCAAAATGAAATCACACCACTCTATCATCTCTCTGTACCTCCCTGTGTATTGTGACTTTTTGTTTGTTTTCTTTTGCAACCCGTGGCCATTAGGTGGCAAACTTGCATATGATGAAACAGCTCTGCTGTCCCTCTGATTTTAGGGTACTATATTCCTATTTATTTTAACATGCCTGTCTTCGGTTTAAAATTGCAGTATTCATCATGCTAAGTCTGATATTATTTTACTGTCCTTAATAATATTTTATTTACTTTTCTAACTGACAATAATCAGCTGAGAACTCCCTTCTTTAAATAGTCTTTATACTTGTCATCTTGATTGTAGAACAGTACAAATCTAAATTCAAGAAAACTTTTAGAAGAGCAGCTATGATTCTTAAAGCAAAAATCATTCTTCTTCTCTAAGGGGAAAAGTGCTTTGTTTATCATTCTTACATGAGAATGAAAAGCTACTGCAGGTAACATCCATTTCTTATTTTGTTGATGACTTGTGTTGTCTGTTACAGTGGACGGTCTGGAGAAGAGGTGAAACTGTGTGATGAAGTAATTAAAGCATCTGACATTGAAAATCCTAGGATACCTTCAGAGCCATGTGAAGCTGGTTCTCGTGACACAGCCAGTGAGAGCAGCAGTGATAATGAGCAAGAATTTATTTCGTCTGTCCTACCAGGAAGTCAGTCAAGTTCAGCCAATTTTACACAGCAATTGCCCAGAAAAAGCATCCTCAAAAAAAAGCATGCTCAGAAAGTCTATCCCAGCCCTAAAGCTGAAGATTCAGATGTGGTAGAAGCCACTGAACAACTCTCTCATTGTAAATTAGATGCTCAGGAAGAAGTACATGCTTGCTCTGTTCATAATGAAATAACTGCACCACCTTCAAAAAATACTACTCTGGGGAAATCTAGTGCTTCACAAATCTGTGAAAATACCTGTGGATCACAAATAGTTTTTCTAGGTGTGAGCAAAAGAGGGGCAGAACATCTTAGAAGAACACTAGCTAACTCAACAGAATATAGAAAATATGAACTGAGGAATCCAGTTAATTCCAAAGGCAGTTTACTGGAAGTGCTTAGGCACACACTTACAGAATGGAGAACTGAGGAAACTTTAAAATTTCTCTATGGCTCAAACTATACTTCTTTGTGCTCATTAGAGTGCATAGCACCTGCCAGCCAAGAGACTGAAGAACTTGATGAGGATGACTTGGATACAGCCGATGATCTTAACGCTGTTGCTGTAAGAGAGTCTGAAAACAGCTTGAATTATTCTTTACCTTTCACAGGCCCAGGTGAAATAGTTAAGCCTGTACCTAGTTACGAAAAGTTAAAAGAAGAAACGGAGTTCCTAGAACTCCGAGTGAAAGAGTTCTATAAAGGGAGGTGCATCTTGGCTGAAGAGGCAGCGACACTTGCACAGAAAGAGGAACATCCAAGCACAGACAAAGTAAGTGTCCAGTGGAATAGTTTGGAGGCTGTGTAAAGCCTGAATAGGCCTTCAAAGAATTATTACTTTGTTTCTGCCATCCTAAGTGGGTGTCTCACACAGGGAAGAAGAAAAGTATGCTGGCTGCACACTGTATGTTGGGTCAGATTATGCAGATTCTGTCCATTAAAAAATTACAGTTTGGGGTTTTTTTTCTATTCAGAGATAAGAGTAATCTTATGTTTAAACATTTATTGATAATCTGTGGCTGTTTTGATGCATTGACTTTAATTAAATACTAGGTTATAGCTGCTAAGGTGTTTTGTCTAACACAGGATGATCAACACGAAGATCTCACCTTCCCGCTTGTTGATTCCAATGCACAAATGCAGATTAGAAAGCGAATCGTCCTTGAAAAACTGAGAAAAGTGTAAGTATCCTTTACTTTGTTAAATGTCAATCTGAAGTTGGTGCTCCTTCATCATCGTTTTAAGTAACAAACACGCTGTCCAAGGATGGGCCTGGCTTTCTCTAGGTGGCCTTAGTCATAACTTAAACCCAGTATTGTCCAAAAGCACTTATTTATTTCTGTGACAGTCACCTGTGATACAGTTGCAGATGTCAGTTTGCATGGTCTGCATGTACCAACTGCTCAATTTTAAACTGAAAAACCTGAAGTTGATTGGGAGGAGTGCAAATATTTGTCTTGTACATTAAGCATACTGTTACTGGTAAAAAAAATGTACAGAGAAGGAAGCAATGTTTTCAAACCTCATAATCCTTTAAGCAAAGGTGTTACTAAAAGAATTTCTAGTCCATGTTTGGATGGCTGATTTCAGTATGCCGCTAGCTACAAGCATTAAAGGCCCTCAGAGTTGAATCTTAAAACTTCCCAAACATCAGACCTTCTTCATATACATAAAAGGGCTTTGGAGTCCCAGAAAATAAATTAAGGCATTTCTGTTGTAGCTGTTAGAATTACTAAACTGTCAAAGTTGAGAGGACCTTGAAAATATTCTCATTGTCAAGGCAATGCAGATAAATGAGTCTTTGAAGCTCATGATTCTGGTATTTTTGTTAGGGGTATTTACTTTTCCTGTAGTTTGTGTTAGCCAGCCAAACTAGGTTTTGCCAAAGGTTTGGTTTTTTTTAAACTAAAAACCCCCACAACGAAAACTTCCCCCCCAAAATAAAAGAAAAAAATCCTTTCTGTTTTTCTCTACCTGAAACATGTATGGATAGGCAACAATCATGGAATCAAACCATCCTGCAAGTGTCTGGCCTGTGTTGATTGTTTTACGTTTCCTGAGGTGATGCAGTGATCCTGTCACACATTGTGATAAAGCAGGGAATATCCCCAGCATCATGAGAGTCCTGTGCTCAGTTTTTGTAAAACGTGCAGTGATGTACAGAACAGAAATCTTGATTCTTCCAGTGATATTGATGCACTGTGTGCATATGAATGGAAATTCAAATGCAAGAGGATATTAACTATTAAACGAGTGAACTGAGGCAAAAGTTTAATCCTAAATGTGAAAAACAATGCACGTTATTTCCATCATTTGGGAATACTGACAACTAGTTAAACATTATGTGCGGTGTGTGTGCTCTATCAGTTTTTATGTACAGTCAGGTAGGGAGGAAACCTGTATTTTTCTGTCTTTTGAAATTTTCCGATTACTATCATCTTGGTTTCAACTATCAAGCTCACAGTGGAGTGATATTTCTCTTGCATCTGTGCAAGTCTGAGGTGCGTGCAAGTCTCAGACATGTAGTTTCCTTCTGTATTGTTATTTTTGAACCAAGTAAATATAAACCTTTGAAAAATTTAGAAGGCCTGTAGTTCCAATCCTCATAATTTTAAGAATATCTTGTCAGAACTGAAATGTGAAATGAGTAAGAAAATGTAGGTAGAACTGTATTTAATTTCTTCTTCACGTTCACTCTGAACTAGAGCTTATTTTTTAAAACAAGCTGTTGTGAAGTGAAGGTGGTGGCCCAAACACCGCTCAGAAGCTGCAATGAAAACTACAGGCCTGATCTGTTGTACAAAAGTCACTCCTTTTCTTTTTACTAACTTTGATAAGCTTTGGCCGAAGTCCTACTTGAGAAGAAATAAGAAAGAGAAGAAAATGCATATTGACTGGTGTCTTTTGCCTCCTAGATTACCTGCAGTTTTGGGCCCTCTTCAGATCGCTCCAGGTGATGTTTATGCAGAGCTGAAAAACCTTGTCAAAACTTTCCGGTGAGTATTGATCCTTATTTAGAGATTTTTCTTAATTGATTAATTAAACATGCCGATGAACGATTTGCAGATTTGCTCTTTTCTAGCCGTGTGTTCATGTAGGTAATGTCCCATTCCCTGTGGACTAACAAGTCAACCTTTTCCCTACTCCTGGCAGTGACTAGGTCACCAGGAGTATTTGTAGATTTTTAAAAACTAGGCCAGTGGTCTCTGGAGGATGATGGTGAGTCTTTTAAAGGTTCTGCTACCTTGTCACCTCCTATTAAGCATGAGTTTCTGAGATCTGTCGCTTTCTTTTGCTCTGGCTCCCTGCAGCTGGGCTAAATGGTTTTAATGTGATTAATAATTGTTACCAGTAACTTCTAGAGTCAGGAAGAAGGTCCAGTTTGACCTGTCTTGTTCCTGATTTTAAAGGGAAGTAGATTTAGTGGGCACTTTTACCATCCCAGAGGAAGCTTCTGCTTCAGTCAGTAGGACTAAAGACAGTATTTGGAAACAGTGAGATAAAGGAGGGAAAACAGAATGGTGGTAGCTTCTCTGAAGGTTTTTAGGTTTCCTTTGGAACACGACTCTCATAACTTGGACCTAGATCATGTTCTGCATCCTCAAGTGTTGTCAGGAAAAGAACAACAGCAATTGCTAACTGTGTGTACATTGTCACTCTTGAAACTTCGTTCCCACATCCTCAACCTGCATGAGGTTTACATGTGAATTTTCCAGAACTCATTCATGCGGCATTTGCCACAAGGACTCTGGGCTGGAAGGATGCCACTAAAACACAGATGTCTATATGCAGGATTTCTTACTGTGGAAAATTCTGTCTTCTCTTCCGATGACTCCGATCATGATCTCTTTTATTTAAAAGAATTATTAGTGTTTGAACTTGATTCTATGATTGCAGTCTTTTAAGTCCTGATTAACCTTTTGTTTTAACAGCAACATTGAAACCAGGGAAGATATTTTTGGTTATATCAAAGCAACATATACATACTGTATAGATACCTGTTATTTGAATAAGATCTTCTGTCTTAAAACAGTTTCATTGCTCTGCAGTTTTAATTCTTAATAGTTGCTTTAGCTTATGGATTGATAAAACTGGAAAAACTACATTTGGTCTCTTTCAGTCTACTTTTGTATGATTGATTATGTAAGAAGTCCTGGAGGTTCTCAAAAGCAGAACTTCTATTTTAAATAATTTTTGCTATTCAAAGACAATGTGGCCTGAATATAAAGTTTTAGAAGTGGTTTATAAAAATAAGACTTGTAGCCAAAATAGACTTCTAAAACGTATACATATGAAACATATATATATATATATATGTATATATATATATTTAAAGAGTGGAACTAAATTAATTTATTTGGGCTTTGATCCCAATACTTAGCTCATGTAGCAATCATTTATCATATTTTAAAAGTCTCCCCTGATCTATTTCTGATCCCTTAGATAATGCTTTGTGAGTTTATTTTTATCTCTTTTTTTGTTAGGAAGTAAATCGAAGGGAATAGAAGCAAGGTCTTGGGGCTCTCTTCCTGTAAAGATTCCATATCAGTTGCTTAGAATTTTAGAATTTGAGATGAGGGGTGGTTGAAGGCAAGTTATATAATATATATATATCTCAAAAAAATGGAGTTTTGTCACTAATAGTGAAATAATAAAAACAGGAAATAGGGAAGCAATAAAAACCTTTGGACCCTTTCTCCTTCTTACATTACTGATATGGAAAGGTCTGTTGATACACAAGAGCTCACTAAGATGAAGGCATAGATTTGAATCTCCAGTTCTGTATGTAGGTTTAAATTTATTTGAGTGCTCTCTCAAGCTTTGGATTTAATGCTTTGGCAGGGAGAAATTTTAAATGGCATTTGTATTTACAGGGTTTAGAAATTTCTTTGTTAATGTTGTTCACATACTTAGTGACTACAGAGGAGCACTGATAAATGCTCGTGCTTTTTCCTGCTTTTTGTACTGGAAATATTTCAGGCTGAAGAACTTGCCAAAGAGAGTAGTAGATAAAACACATGGCTGTAGTAGAGCTTAGCTGAAGAAGGGTAAAAGAGCATGTGGTGAACTAAGCAACAACAATTTTCAGCTCCATTGGTTTTTAAAGGAACACTTGCAGTTCAACCTCCTTTGGGCAGCATTTTATTCAATCACCACTGCTAAGAAACACACTAGAGAGATCTCAAGAGACATTTTAGAATGGTTAGAGCTCTTCCCAAACAAAGTCCCTCAGTGCCTGTAAGCTTTTGTTACGAAAACTGAGATGTCAAATAAGTCTCCAGAGTGTGTAAGGGCACTTTGTTAAAAGATTAAGAGAAAATTAGCTACTTATATATAAACTGAGGAGAAATGATTATGTTTGTTTATGTGTGGTTGTTTTTTTAAGGCATAATATTTCATATTGAAAATAGATTTTCATTTGTATTTTATGGTTTTTAGGGGAGTAAATATTTTGCATAATAATGTTGGTGTCCATCTTCTAATCCCCATTGCACAGTGTTCCTTTAGTCAAATTGTTCCCTTGAAATTCCAGGAAATGTAATCCAGCTGAGGAAAAGGTGTCAGCTCCAGCATTGCTTTCCTGTAACTTCAAGTTTGTTGTGGTCCCTTTCCAAGTTCTTGCACAGGGCACTTAGGCAGTGCTTAAATCTGCTGCCACAGCAGGCACTGTTTACAAATCAGGCTATCATTTGCAGTTGATGGTAATTAAATGGGAAGACAACTAAAGGAAAAGAAGTAAACCCAACTGTGTATGCTCTTTTTTGTCATTTTTGGGTTTACTGTTTTTGTTTACTGATAACTTTCACCTTGGACTCCTCTGTATTACTACAACTTCCCTATTAGAATCCCCTTCCTTTGCAGGCTGGGTGCTAGTCAGTTATTGGGAGGACATTTGGGATGGAATTTTTATGCATCTTACTCTTGAGTCCTTTATCCTGTATCCTGTAAGCTTCTGCTACTTGGATCCATCTGCTCAGTCTGAGCTCCTTCATAGAGTATGAAAACTGCTGCGTGGGTCCTGCTGGGGGGTAGGAGCACTCAAGTCTGGCTGCAGTGTGTCTTGCTGGAGTGAACCACAAGACCCACAAACTAACAACTAAGCGACCCACACAGCTATTTGGGATATCAGACTTTCCCGGCTTACGTTTGCTGCTCTGCAGAGGCCCAGAAATTAGAGACATTCCATTTTGGAAAGTTGTGTATTGTTTTCTTTCTTTAGGTAAGCAAGGGAGAATTTAGCCAAACTCTTTAACAGAAAATACTCCACTGCAAAACTCAAATCACACACAAAAAGTTTCGTACAGTTTTAAGATTTCCACGTTATATGCTTATGACAGAAATCTAGAGACTTCTCTTTCATGGATTGTTCTGAAGTAACAGTTTTGGCTAGAGACAAGGCAAAGATTTAATGAACCATTCTTACAGAGGCTCTGCAGTTCCCTGTTTTCTGAAAGCTTTGCTCTTCAGAGGCCTTGGTGTTGACACACAGCTTGTTTTTGAAAGTGACTGCCCTTCCACTGCTCCTTGTTATTTAAGGCTTCACACCTGTAGGTTGCTAGCTTTACTCTGATCTGCCTGAAATGTGGCTTTTTTTTCCAGCTGCACAAGTGTTTTAGGACAGGTGTTGTACTGAAAGGTTACTCATTGTGGAAGCCTGACTGTTCATCCAGTCTGGTGACAGTAGGACGGCAGCAGATCCATATTGCTGTATCCTGCTGGTTGCCTGTGTCTTTTGACTACCTCCTTCATAAATAGCATATTGATGGCAATGACTAGTGTTCAGACCTTGCCAATCAATACTAACATTGAATAAGAGTTAATTGACACAAATAACTGCATCTCTCAGTTTGTGGACAAGAATGACACCTTCCTGTGCTCTAATCAATAATAACTCCTTGTAGAGCATTGAAATAAAGCTGCTTTCTCTATTTGACAGAGTTTTCCCAAGTGGCCTGGAGCTGTCTCTTTCACTGTGTCTCATCATAGCAGATTAACTGGAATGTTACATATGAATTGCCTGTCAGGATGATTCCATCAGATATTTCTTGGTACTGTTTATCACTGTCATGAGTGTTGAGTCAAGATGTTCAGCCTTTGTTTTGGCCCTTGCTCTATAGCCAGAAAAATGTAACACTTAACACTTTACCAGGTACAAGCTTTGTTGCCAGATCAATTAGCTATTTCCAAGAGTAATTGCTAAACATTAATCTTTTAATAGCAAATATAATCTGTATTTGCCAGAACTGTTGGTTCTAGTTAGATATGACAATTCCTGCTTATGTAGGGCAAAACATTGTTTTGCCTTTCATAATTTAATAAAACTCAGGCTGTTGAGACACTGCTTGAGGAATCATTGCTTCAAAATCTAAGTTTGGTTTGAAGATTTGCAGATTTGAGGAGAAAAATAGGATAATATAATTTTGATCACTACGAATTTATTTTATTAATTTTTAATAGGTTTCTGAAATAGATAAATGCAAACATAAAAGGTCTTATTCATAACTGCATTTTTAATGACCACTTTGAACATAATTTTGGGGAATGAGTTAACAGAATTTGAATCTCAACAATTGCAAATAGAAATACTTCTATTTTCTCAATTTGTAATTTTTTTTTTCTTTTTTTTTTTTTGGTAACTATATACTTGCCCAAAGTAGTTAAAAGTTTTTTTAAAAAGTAATCTTACTGGGGAAGAAAACCCTGGATTTGTATTTGTTGCCAAACAGTTAATTTTAAACAAGCTCTTCCCTTCACCAGTGCCTGTAGGAGTGAGTATGAATAACGGGGTATCTTCATTCTGGATCTGAATTTGTGTAAGGCTTCACAGAAGGGAAACTGAGAGCAAGAAGGAAGCAAACACTGGGAGGCACTTGCCCCTCGTTATTTCTGTGGGATGGTGCCATCTGTCTGAGTAAAATTAAATCTGCTGGCTCTTTTGGGTGCCTGCCCAGCCACTGCTGCGTTTTTAACTGTGACTTTTCCATGAAATTGCATGTCTTGGGTCATGCCTAAATTCAGCCATAGCAATTCACACGTGAATTGTTGTAGGACAGGTTAGCACTTAACTTAGAACAGATCTGTTTTATTAGGCCGTTCAGCCAAGGGGGTCAGCTGGTTTCAGTGCAGCAGCACTTTGGTTGCACACCCATGAGGTTCTTGATTCACACCTCATTTATATTTATATGGCTCTTATATTTCCTCTGGCTCCCATTGCATAAACTAGAATTCTGGGTTTCCATTTTAAAAACACGAATCGTCAGAGGATTGGTGCTGGTATCTTATAAAATTCAGTCTGTTTCCACATTAGCTCTCACAGCAAATCTGGATCCGAAGCCAACGGGAGGGAAACTAAGTGTAAGAAGGTTTGTCTTTTCAGAAACACACGTGCAGTTGTGGAGAATTTCCCAGTGGGACTCACAGCAGCCAGGACTATTTGTGAGCATATTCAAAGAATTAACTTCTTTTCAGTCTTTCCCATCCCACTTTCTTATAGAAAAAAGAGACATATCGGGAATTTTGCAATTCCTCCATTACAGGATGAAAGAAACCTGAAAGTTGGTGCATTGCTCAGATACAGCTGTAATTGCTTCATTATAACTCAGTGTATTAATGGTAGACTTAAAATTCAGCTGTTAAAATCTGTTTATTTTTACTCTGAAATGTAATGATTTTTTTTAATTACTTTTCAGGTTAACAAACAGAAATATTATTCACAAAATACCTGAATGGACTCTAATCGCTATTGTTTTGTTGTCTGTGTAAGTACCTTTCAATGTCAAATATTCTTATGTGCAACTGTCTTAACTAGCCTATTGAAACAAGATTTAATCTTCAGATAAAAGAAGCTAAGATTTATTGAAACTAACTGTGGAATCAGGAGAAATATTTTTCTTATGAAAATGAACTAAATTCTCTTGACAAAACAGTATTGTCTGACTTGCAACAAATGTTAAGAATGGGCAATGACTTTTTAACAATAACTGAATGTTATGTTAAAAAAAAGAAAAGCCTTAGGGGGTTTTAAGGAGGGCTGATGGGATGAAGGAGTGTAATTCACCCTCTTCCATTTGCTGCTGAGAGGCATTCTTCCCTTCTCTGATGATAGGACAAAATGACGTGTATTGTATTATTTAGATTTGGCATAACTGTCAAGCTTTTTGTTTGTCATTTTACTTCTAATTTCTTAGAAGGTTTTACTTCTATGATTAAAGTCAAATTATTTCCATAAGGATATGGTGTGCTTCTGAATACATTTGTTTAAATATTTTAGCAAACTTCTTTTAGAGGGGAAAGCCTTTTTAGCAACTCCCAAGGAATACTGGGAGCCAGTATTTTATTTTTGTGAGGATTAGCTTTATTGCTCAAGATTATGATATTACAAGGCCACAGTTCCTTGTTGGCTTTGTTTTACTTACTGTAGAATTAAATCCTTTACAAGGATTTTCCTGATGGGAAACCTGATTTTATTATAGTGTCTTTGAGTAAACTTCTGTACAAATGCATGATCTGTAAAAGCAGTATTCATATGCATCGAGTTCCTTAATTTGTATTTTGCAAATTCAGGTACATTTCTGAGGTTAAAGACACAAACTTTGCAGTGTGTTAAACAAACACAAATGTGTATTAAATATTTACATTAGTTCACCTTTTAAGAAATCACTGGTGGTTTCACACCACTGGTGTCAGACACTGCCTTTTTCAGTAGGGTTAAATCATCAAGCAATCTTTGTATGTCTTGAGCTTAAATTACAGGATTGCAAAAATCTTTATTCCAGAGCCTGTTTATTACTGCACTGCTGCTGCTTCTTTTGGGCTTCCTGGGTCACTGGAGCCTGTAGGACAGAGAAGTGCTTACAGACATTCACAGGTCAAGAAGTATTGTGGGCCAGCCTCAGAGCATCCCCAGCACTGCACTTACTTTCCTTGATATTACTTCAGTCTGACACATTGTTCTGGCTTTACTGTCCCAAGGAAGACTGTACCAGCAGGCATTAGAGCAGGCTTCAGCGAGCCTTACATCTGTGTCACCCAGCCAGATACCGCTCAAATGATTCATTAAATCAGAACACAGAAAGTAACTTTACTTGAATGCCTTGGCATAAATTTTTTATCAACTATAAGAACAAATCTTTTGTCATTTTTACTATATATTCTTATGGTTGAATTGTTAATTTGTGAAACAGATCTTATGAATTTTTCAAGTAGTTTCTGTATAGTTAAGGAAATGGTGACTTTTTGATCAGAATTTAAAGTATGTTGCTGGTTTCTGCATATGATGAGCTCTAAATGTTTACATAACTAATGATTGTTTTACAGATGCTTTAAAATGTTATACAAGTAGTAGGCAGTCTTGGTAACAATCAGTGTAAGCAGAGAACCAAGTCTCTTTTTACTTTTGCTTTCTAAGGGTCTACCCCTAAACAAATGAATTATATTTCATGATAAAGTACAGTAGACTTTATTTCTAATATTATTTTAGTGAAATAATTAATAGAACCTCTGTTGACTTCCCCTTATTGTAAGGTTCTTGCAAGCTCATGATCTTGAGATTTTGAACAACTTCTCTCAGGTGCCTCTTAGGAGAGGATGTAGAAGAACGTAGGTGGGTTAAAATGAGTGGTAAGATTCCTCTAACAAGATGACACGTGTTGCATCATTTCCAGAAAGATTAAAGCAGAACACTTAATTATTTGGGAATTCGAGTCAAACTTCAATATTTAGTGGAAGCCAGGAGTGTGCAGGGAAAGGCTACTGAGGACCTGGGCAACTCCTCACATCCTCGTGTTGTGGCCTTTTCACTCCTGCAGTCTGCCAGGAACCTGTCATATATAACTAATATTTCTCATAAAAAGAAGTACGCCCTGTTAAGTCTTCTCCTTGAGCTGTACTGAGAGATTACGCACATCGTAGCACATGTAATGTCATTTATATCGTGGAGTTGTTGGGGCCTGAGACAGAGTGGGTCTTTATAAACTCCAGTCCTGTTCTGACAGTTTTTATTCGCAGGTCTTTTCCTGATTTCAGACATAGGACGACCATTTTACTCCCAATACTAAACAGCATAAACTACACCCTGGAAGAGGATAATACTTCCTCTTTCCAGGTGGGTGGCAGACCATATCACAAGTGCCCCAGGGTGCAGGGAACAGAGATTACAGAAGGCTTTCAAGGTATACCTCAAAAAAACTTATGAAGACTTCAAGTATTTTTTGTTTTGTATGGAAGGGGGCAGGGTTGTTTTGTTTCAAGTAGCAACTGTTGGACTTTGCTTGCACCCCATTTTGTGCATCAGTGTTGTGGCTCACCACTTCCTTCTCGTGTATGGCTAGAGCGTGCTGGGGACTTGGTGTACTTAACTCCACAGTGCAGTCTCAGAGTGCCCCGACCCTTTTTGTGATAAGCTGCTGGACAGAATAACTTGTCATTGCTGCTGTGTTGAATTCAAGTGTCATCAGTGCTTCATACTTGTATTATGGTATGACAGTGCTGTCCTCTCTTCACATGAGTGTGCATATTAACTCTTTGTGGGATACAACAAGATGTCATAACGCCGAATTTTGGTGCTTAAATTAGAACCTGGGCTCACTATAGTCTGCTGGTCCTTGACAAGCTGTTAAAAGTACTTATGTGCCCTTGAGTCTACTGACTGTTAAGGAAAGCTGGGCTTCTCATTCATTGCTCTGAAATGAAATGCCTGAAATGGGACAGTGTGACTCTTGTGACTGTATGTCTCAAAGTATAAAATGTTGGAGGACGCAGCAGTGGAGTATTTCATGTTCCTAGTGAGCAGTTGGATTTATTCAATCAAATTATTGTATAAAATATGAACAGCCAGTCTCAACCTTTATTGAAAATCTAGCCTGAGGCACTCCTATGACCAGCACATTCAGCAATGCTGAATTGACCTTCTTAGAGTACACTTTGACAGCCAGAGAATTATGTTCAAACAATTGCATTCATGCCTGTCATGGAGTGGGTGACTCTTAAAAATTATCTGTAGATCAAATTTCTTATTTATTGTAATTTGTAGTAATTTTGGCATTGGTAGATTCCTATTTCTTCCTGTAGCAATTTTTAATATGTTAAACAGAATTTTCTGTTCTAGTAATAGCTGCTTTATAATGTACTGTAAACCAGAATGCAGAAGTTGCATCTTTTTCCCCCAAAGAACGTTGCAAGAAAGCAAATGAAGCAGATAAATAGATACAAATACAGTAGTTCAAGAAAGAATGGAGAAGGCAATGTGAAGATTGGTTGCTGTACAAGCATGGGCACTTTCTGGCTTTAGTGTATACCCCTGGCACAGACTAATGGAAAGCTTTCAAGATATTTTCAGGAAATGTCTGCTTTCATCTTACTTATCTGAGCTGTCTGGTTCCAGTGAACTGTGGTCAGCTTCATCTACAAAGCCCATGCAAGAGGTTCCCCCGCTAAAAGCTTTGAAGCATTTCAAAATGTTCTGGGATTAGTTTATAAGCATTCGGCTGCAGTATTTAAACAAACTCAAAATGACCATGATCACTAAACAAAAGCCATCATTATATGAGTGCAGCCACTTTAGATAAATGTGTCATGTGGAGATGTACTCTAGAGGTTTACTCTCTGGGAGATAACAGTTCAGGAACTGGAGAATCTTGGGTTCAAGTATGTGTTTTTACTTCTTTGCACACGAGAGCACATCTATTGCTCAAGGCTAGCATTTCTAAATTATTTTAAGAGGAATTCAGATTTTTGTGATATCACTACTGTGTTCTTATCTGAAAGTGTCTGAATGTTTGAAATGTACAAATCTAATGTACAAATACATATACGATGTGAATCAGACTTGTATGTGGTTTCTGTAGGAAAAAGAGTCACTCTGCAAGTCAGCTGGATGATCTTTTATTTAGCACATTTGATGATGGAAGTTTGGTTCCAGGTTTCAGCTGAGAAAAATAATTTATTATTATTAAGCTAGAAATAGAATTATTTACCATTTTGAAACAGAGCTTGCAGGACCAAGAATCCAAAAAGTCTTTTTATAAAAACATTTGAATGCAGTTATAGTGTTGTCTCTATCTGCAGTTATATTATTGTGTAAAATAAAGGCAAGTTTGTCTTAACATGTTAAAAAATTTAAAAAATACCTTCTTCCCTTTTTCTCTCTTAATTTTAGGATGTCATTTGGTAAGTGTGAGCTCAAATAGGTTTTCTGTTAAACAATTCTTAACTCTGCTAAGCAGTTCTATTAAGCTTACTTATCAGCACTTTCTAAGCAAACTCAAAGCTGCTCATTTGGCAGATTGTGGACATGATCAGTATTATCTTAGTTCTTCCTAGCATGTTCCAGTAATATTTAGGAAACATACACGGAACAGTATTGTAAGGGATTTCAGGGTTGTTAATTGGATATTAATCAGTGCCAACTTTAAAATAATTTAATATCTTCATCATTCATAAGGGAGAAAACAGATGGAGAAATCTTAGCAGTTTCCAAGGAGATGTTTCTCCTGACACAAAAAAGCCCCACTGTTGTGTAGTGCTGTTGTGCAGAAGTGACCCTGGATTTCATTGCAGCCCATACAGCTGCAGTTATTTTTCCGTTCTGGTAGCCTTCTGAATGGGAGATTTGGATGTGCTGTGTGACTTTGGCCTTTGCCCAGCACAAACTCTCTGAGGTGAGTCCAGGATAATTAATTCCTCTTAATAGTGCTGGTCCTTGGCTTCATCAGCAGGAGAGGAGCTGTAGCACACACTGTCTCCTGGACTTCTGCTACAT